GGTCGCGCTCCAGAGACCGAAAACGTTAGTATTCAGTAACGGTACCCAGGCAGTGCTGAAAATGCCAGAATAAATTGGGCCATGGTATGAAATGTGTTCTCAGTATACTCATGAGATCCATCTGTAGAATTTGTCGGAAGTAAAAAGCTGACCACGGAATTAGCAGCAACAAAAATAGAAAGGGTCAATTCCCCAAAGGGAACTACTGCATAATCTTGTCTACTAACTGCATAAAGTACTATGTGCAGTAGCTTTACTTTGCGTTTGTCCAAATGTGCTCTTCTCAACCTCGTTTTGTTTTACAAGTCTGCTGAAAAAGTAAATGGTTATTTGTCAGCGCTCTGCTCTCTGCTGTTTCCAGGTGACAGAAAATACAGACGGAGTCGCAGCAGGAGTAAAGAGGTAATTGATGAATTTATTTCTATGACTAGAAACGCATTTTGATGTTATTTTGAACGCTTAAGTTGTATTCCTCGTTAATTTTAGGTTGAGGTGAGTATGTTTTATAAGGTTTCATTTGTTACAGTAACCAAATTAAGAACAAAATAAATAGATTGAGATGGGCTCACTCACATGGAAAGGGTCCTTTTTTTACCTTCCCCATGTTGACATGTCTCAAAGGATGTTTTTATCCTTGGATATCTATCATTGTTTGTCACCATATTAAATGGTGAAGAGTAGATTTTTATTTATTTTTGTTAAATACTGTGTGTAGATCACATGATAACATTTCTATAATAAATCATACTCAGCGTGCTAATGCACGAAGAGACTGAACAGAAGACCCTGCTGACATAGCAAAATAATATGTCTACTACTGGGACAGGTAACTATCTGCCATTCAAACTCCTATTTGTCTCACACTATTTGTAGAACAAATTGAATTAACTCTTGCATCTCTTTCAGCTAGGGATGGGCATAATTAAACAAACTATTCCTTTCATTTATCCAAATGGCGTTTATTCCATTTCTGTGTAATTATGTCAGACTAATTTGTCTGGAAAAAGAGTAACAACTTCTGCCTCCCTCCTTAGTGATATGCCACATCATACTAATGAAGACCCGTTCCAAACTATGTTCACATGAGATACAGTTGGTGCGACTCTGTTATGAAGAGAATTTGACATAAAATGGTGCATAGGACATCAATTCCGGCAAAAAAAGGCATTGTAGAAATGCATCATTTTTTTATTTAGGAAGTGTTTTTTCCTGTTTTGTATGATTTGGATGCCGTAAGTAAAGAAGCTGTAAGAAGTAAGTCGGATGCCCATCCCTACTTTCGCCTTTCAGTGATTTAATATATTTTTTCTCCAGAGAATCCGATCGTAGGGTTTGCATGCACACTATTACAAGATGTAAGACGGTCCAAACATTTTAGTTTGATTACATTATTATCTTACATTTACATCCATAGTGACAATAAGTGCATTGTGGGTACAAAAAGTGCAAGAGTCATGCAGGTACATCAACGTCAAGTATGCTGATGTGCTTCCAGTGCTACATTTACAGACGATAGAAGGTGGAGAAAGATTTTATTTTTATGTTACGGGCCACGGTGCAGTCTGAACAGAGTTTTCAATTCCATTGAAATTAGTGTATTCAAATTAGTCCTTATTATAGACACGCCCACAATTTCAATCATGCTCGCAGAATTTGTATGAAAGTGGATTTTAAATGACAAGGTTTTTTGACAACTTGTCAAAATTTATTACATACCGTCTGCCATAAGCCATGGTACTAACTCTTTTTGTTGCACTATTTTCCTGAAAGAGACAACTTCTTCTTAAAACAGGCACGAAAGAGGGACTCTGAGAAGCCATCAAAATCACACAGAAAAACAGACGAGCGGCAAGAGCCAGAGAGACTTTCAGCAGAGAATGGAGAGGAGCGATCCAGGCGCAAAGACAGGAGACCCTCAAAGGACCGGAGCTTGTCCAGATCACACTCCCGAGAGAGGTTAGTCTGGTCAATAAACTGCATAAAGACATATGTTCAGCGGATTTAACTCGTTTAATAAGAAGGAAATTCATTGGTATGTTATAGTTTCTGGATTCATCTTCGGGATTATTGAAAGCCCAGAAATTCTCATAATTTCTGTTGTAGAAGTCCTGGTCTCGTTAAATACCGCTCAACATTTTTGATACACAGTAGATCATCTGTTCTAAACAGTAATCAAGGATACATGTATGGCAGCGCTATGAGTCATGCCTGTCTTTTCTCTTGATTTGAGTTGATGGCTCTTATTGCTTTCAGACGGCCTCACAGCAAAAGTAAGGACAAGCGGCGATCGCGCAGCCGGGACAAGAAGAAGAAAGCTAGGTCTCGCTCGGGTTCAAGGACCAAACACCGTCATCGTAGCAAAAGTCGCAGTAAGAGCAGGTGAGCTTAAACTAATTATCAGTATATCTTGTGGGGACTAAGTATTTTTGAACTCTTGTCCTACATGCATATCATTCTACTTGTTATTAACAGTATGTTCATTGATTTTATTTCATTTTTTTTGGTTGTTCCATCAGGGAGCGAAAGAAAAGGAGTGAGAGAGTGCGCAGAAAGAGTCGAAGCAGGTCTGTTAATCCACCTGCCTTCCGGGGCCGAAACGCAGCTATGGATGCACAAGAGGCCCTGGCCAGAAGGCAAGGCAACAGTTTATAGGGCATTTACAATATAATATAGATGGTTGGTCGTTCTGCTCTGGCCAAATCCAAGAAATGGTAGAGGTGTTTCTTGCATCTGTGTAATAGCAGCTACAAAGCTTAAAAAAAAGAATGAATTAATCATACAGACACTGAAAACCTTTACTGCCCTACTAATGCCTGACAGTTTAAGGATATGATAAAGCTAGCAGGCAAAGCACAGATTAGGTAGCATTAACGGAACCAGTAATCTGACTTCTCATCCAAGTTGCACTTGCCAGAGCGCATTGTTGTTCATTAAACCACGTTGGTAGGAAAACAAAGGTGGGGTGTACTGGTGGTCTGGGTCTCTTCAGGCACTGATGATGTCATTTTAATGTCCACATTTAGAGTCTGGCCGGGGACCTTTGTTGCATGTAACCCCTCCTTTCTCTACCTTCATTTCCTTTCAAATCTCTACTGTCCCCTGTTACATAAAAGCAAAAATGCTCAAAAAAAGGACAAATAAAAAGTCTGGCTGATGTCTCCAACATGTGGAGCTATGATTTTTATGCTCACACGTAATATTATCACTTTTAGGTAAATAACAGTGGGAACAATGGGCTTTTAAACCAAATGAGTAACGTCATCTTCTCTTTTTCCAGGCTGGAGAGAGCGAAGAAACTACAAGAGCAGAAGGAGAAGGAACTGTTGGAGAAACAGCAACAGGAGGAGATTGTTGCAGGTGAGAAGGGCTTATGTAAAACCTTGATCATTCGAGTCCAGATTCAGTTACTTACCATTCCGGTCTGTGTGTTTTGTTTCCAGTGACTGCCCCTATCGCAGCAGTCGCAGCTGCAGTGGCCACCTCAAGCCCTGCCCTAAATGTGGCGGCCCTCCTGGCCTCTGGGACCCAGGTCACGCCTCAGATAGCCATGGCAGCGCAGATGGCAGCCCTTCAAGCAAAAACACTGGCAGAGACGGGTATCGCTGTACCCAGCTACTATAACCCGTCCGCTGTAAACCCCATGAAGTTCGCAGAGCAGGAGAAAAAGAGGAAAATGCTTTGGCAGGGAAAGAAGGAGGGGGTAAGATTATTATTATTATTATTATTATTATTATATACCGTTATTTCTTATTTATCTAGCAGTTTTATGCATGCCCAGTGTTTCCTTCTCACTTTGTTTAAAAACATATTTTTTTATTTGTCTAGATTTATTATTACATGATGCTTATTTCCATTTTTAAGGACAAGTCGCAGACAGCTGAGTTGTGGGAGAAGCTGAACTTTGGAAACAAGAACCAAAATGTTAAATTCCGCAAACTAATGGGTATTAAGGCAAGTATAATTGTAATTTTATTTAACCGATGGGTACTTGATACTGCCAACCACTTAAACCTTTGTAATCTAAACGCCTTGGAGTTAATTTAATTTGTTTTCTTTACAGGGAGAGGATGAAGTTGAAGTTGCCAAACCACTTAATGAGGAGGGCTTGAAGACTCTTCAAAAGCAGGAGGAGATGTTTAGGAACCTTGACGTTCAGTATGAGATGGCTCGGTCTCAGACACACACCCAGAGGGGGATGGGCCTCGGTTTCACCTCCTCGTTCTCACGTGGAATGGATTCCATCTAGTGCCAAACATTGGCCATCTTTGCCACTCATCTGATCATATAGGACCACCGATTCATTGCTAGCCCTCAAGCTTGCACGGATGTTGCTCTGAATCTGTAATTTATTTATAGACAAACATCTCACATATTGGAACATTATAATGTAAATAGCCAGATGCTGAGTTTGTCTCAGTGTTTATGAATCTCTACTGTAATCTTTTCAAAAGGACGCATCGGTTTGACTTGTTGATACTGGTTAAAATTAGATATTTGTTTGAATAATGTGTTAGCTTTTTTTAAAAACCCGATATATATATATTGATATGTGATTGTTTCAACATAAACTGAATATAATGCGGTTCAAGTGCACACGGTTTATATTCATATAGCGAAAGCCATCGGAAGTCAATTTTGCATTATCAAAATTCCACAGATTCATTTCACCTGACTTGGAAAAAAACAAAACTGTGGGTTATAATACATTTTGTCTTCTGGATTGTCGTGGATAAAGTTGTGCTTGACAAGAGAAATCGCATAATTCAAATGTTCTTGAAATAAATTAGTTTTGTGTTGGAATAAGATTTTTCATACATCACCTCCCATTATTTGTATTTGTGATATGTTTATTGCATTTCTGGTCAAATGAGCTTTAATGTTACCAGGGCTGGGTGTGAATGATACAATTATAATAAATTAATATTACATTTAAAAATGAATGTCCAAATTCCATTCATAAAGCAATATAACTAAGGCAAAATCATGTGGAATAAAATTGATGTCAAGTTATATGAACCGTGTTTACGAACTGCGCATGATATCAAAAAAAATAACTCCTCTGAACAAAGTGTCACTTGTCAAACAATCTGCTTGCAATTAATAATTTTGCTAAAAGCAACATCAAATTATGTTACGGCAATATGATTTCACCGAAAGTCAAACAATCTCGACTTGTCACCTAGCCATAGTTTTTAACGAAGTTGATAGAAATGCAGTCCAAAGCAAGAAAAGACAACTTCACATACAAACATTTTTTATTATACTGGAAATTGATCAATTTCAGGTCTTTGTGTCGACACCTAATTGGAAACCCACTCCTATTTACATATGAGGCTGGAGTACAGCACATGAGCCACACCAGTGATCAGGTTGTGGTTGGCAAACTCGAGGATAAGGAGCAGGATTGGGTACTCGCTGTGTCTCTTCTCCACAGTGGACTCATCACTTAGGCCCATCCAATGAAGCAGCAGTGTTTGCATGGCTTCTGGGAAAAGCTCTGTGGCTAGCTCTTCTGCAGGAGGCAAGTCACTAATTCGTTCAATATGCTGTACTTTAAAGCCCTCCACTTTCTGGCTGATGCCGCAGTTGGCTGCATGAAACTGTTGCCCTAGCCATCGTCCTATACCACAAAGCAAGGAACTTGAATACGCACAGCCCCAGTCTTTGGCCTTCAGCAGGGCTAACACAGTTTCTGTTACATCCTTTTCTTCTACATTCCCATTTATGTACTGATCAATGTTCTCCAAAAGCATCAAGATGGTCTCCAGCTGTTCTGTGTTGCTTTGAGTCTCAGCAGAGAGTTTGTCATCCAAGCGGTGCAATTTCTGTCTCGCTGTGGATATAATGTGTTGGCTTTGCTCAGCCTGCAATCTCTGCTTGGGAATAGAACAATAGTCGTGGTCTGCTGATGTATCGCCTGTGTCACTGCAATGCACATCCACTGACTCCATGCCAACATGGCGATGCTTAGGTTGTGGCATTTCAAGCTGCACATTGAGGCTGTAACTCATTTTCAGGGGGCTTTCATTTATCTGCGATTTCCAAACATCCTGCAAAGGAAAGACAGTAAAACATCAAAACAAAAGATATATTGGGGTGTATTTAAAAAAAGTAAATGTCTAACATAAAGACGTGCATAATGTTAACTGTACTGCACCTGGAAGTTCTCTAACACAGCGAGCTGCTCTTGCTTACTGTACATCTCAAAGGCTACTCGGAAAAGTCCTTGAACGCTGTAGAACCAGAGGCTGTTATTTGCAGTATGTACCTTCAACCCATGGAACCTGAATGCTGCAACAGGAAACTTTGTCAACTTTTAGTGTGTGTGTGTGTGTGTGTGTGTGTGTGTGGTGTAAGTGAAATCATTGTTAAGGCTTGTGGTACTGTCTTCTCTTGTGTATTTTTACCTGAGGAAAAATTTATTTTTGTTGCGAATCCTTTCTTGGCAAACTTTGCGTGGTATCTGGGATGGTTCTCTGTGCGGATATCCGTGTTGGAGAAGACATCAGCTCCTAAATAAAGAGGAACCACTGGACTCTGAAAAAGATACAGAGATGATACATGCTGTGATATACTGGTACTGATATTACATTTTTTAAATATTGATATATTTGTATATAGGGCCTAGAATATTGTGTAAATAATCCAGCGACTCTTAAATCACGCATTTATACAGTTTATACAGTTATGGTTACAGACTCTCTCCGCCCCCTACTCATTTTGGGTGTAAGTAATTTGCCATAAAAGAGACGAAACGCACAATACACAAGTTAATGATGGATTTGACTGATATCAGGCTTCTTTAAAATGAGCCAGTCCTGTGCCCCCCCCCCCCCCCCCCCAGATAACTAATGATCTGTAAAGTCATATCTCATATCTATGAACTACTGTATTGCCTTTGTGCAAGCCCTGTAAAGAAACAAAGTCAAGTATCGCATACATTATAAAGAAACAAAGGTTGAATATCCTGTAAACTATTTGATTAGGCTGCAAAATATTTACTCGAATGTAGATTTTTAAGACCCCCTGTTTTTAAAAGCGAGTTGCCCTTCTTTGTTTAATCCTTAGAAAATGTAAATTGTGTTTTTATCAGTTTTAACTATTTGTGATTGTCACGTGATGTCACGCTCGCTTCACTACGGATTATTAACAGATTACTAAAAGATGACCATGACCGCTATAGCACCTTTTAGCTGCTAGAGGGTGCTATAGCGGTCATCATCATCTGACACCAGGGGCTATGGGAAATATCATTACAGAAACACATCTACCATTGTCGTTGATAGAATATCTTTGAGCCTCACTCACCTCGTTAGAACACTCTGCCAGACTGAACGAGGTCAGGTTCACCATGTAAATATAGCGGATCCTCCGTGAACCCCCGTCCCACTGCGGTAAAGTTAAGTGGATAGTTGGGCAATTTGACATTGCTGGATGCAAATGAACCTTCTTACTCGGTCACAATTGTTAAATTGTTCAGTAGTAATCCGAATCTTTCACAAGAATACTTTAAACGACAGTAAATAAATCAAACGGCTGCAAAAAAAACAAAAAACTGACTCAACAATCAAAAATGTAATGGGGGAATTTTTACCCCTCAGCGATGTTTTAAGGACAAAGCAAGCCGCTGTGAAAAAACGTGGCTCCTCTATGAACTGTGTTGTCGTGGTGCATTTGCAATTTATAGATTTAGCTACACATATTTCATAAAAGATTGGGCGTTTTGTCCTGTCGCTTGTTTAATTTTTTGTAATCTGAGATCTCAACCTGTAATTCAACGTTGTGGGCAAAGAAAATCCCTTGTATATGTGTACCTAACACGTGACATAAGGAGGACCAATGAAGACGAAGAATAGTTGCTTTCACCTCTGAACTCCTTTCCTGTATCACAAAGCTGGGTAAAAATGGCTGAAGTGGATTTCGGGGATAGTGAGCTCTTTGAGCAGCTCGATGACTCCGCACCGCCCGGCCCGAAGCATATTCGCTTCACAAGCGATGAGGAAGACCAGGAGGAGACGAGCCAGCTCCAGGGCAGACTGGAGGAGTGTGATGACTCCATTCAGAGGCTCACTGAAGAGAATATCCTTGAGTCAGTTGCGCTAAGTGTGTGCTAGCACTGTTGATGTAGCGTTAGCTTACGTCAACTAGCACCTGCGACCAAAACAGAAAACGCACAACCTCGACATGTATGCTAATGGTTCTTGTGTATGTATTCTGTGTATTACCTTAACTCGTAGATTACATAAAGATTTGAGAAGAAAACTGAACATTCTGACACGACCAAGGTAACGTTACTGTTAGCTGACACAAAGTAATGCGCACACGAATGAATCGAAACTGATCACTTGGTGACGTTAACAAGCGACACTTTTTTCTCTGACTTTATAACAGCATCGCAATGGAAGATGTCAACATGGACGGGCCAGCTCTTCAAATCTTTTATATCAACAACATTATTTCAAAGTAAGGAGTCAAATACATGTTTTGCTCACTCGTGCTTTGCACAGTACGATTAGTCACGGCTGTCTAAGTTGATGTTGAAAATGTTTTAACCGTGTTAGGAGTAAAACATTTTGCCAGCCCTTGTTATAGTATTTACATAACGGCTAATACGATGAAAGTGTAGCATATTATTTACCTTGCCGTGTATGTGCGCTTTATCTCTAAATTGATAACAAAAAACTACAATTAATGTCTCCCTTTAGGTTGTGTCGTCAAGAAATTGAAGATTGCGTCTGCAGTGTGATTTTGAAGCACCAGAAACCTAGCAATGAAAAGAGAAACTCCACCTTTCAAATGAAACCTCAGGTGTCTGCCCATAATATATCTTATTGTGATTGATGATAATAGTTATTAATTTGCTAAAAAAATAATGTTTTATCCCGTATGAAGAATTCAGCTTTTGATATGGATGAAGATCTGCAGAAGTCCTCTTCCAGTAATGTCAGAACAACAACTGAAGCATTTAAAGTGAGGATTTACTTTTATTTTCAGTGACTTGCATGTTCCACAATCTCTTGCCACATGGAAAAGAAAATGTTTTCAAATAGTCTACATGTAATGTTACTGTCATTAATTATTTTCTTATCTTCCTGCCTTAGGTGGTTGGAAGTGTCCTATACTTCACTACATTCAGTGTTGATAAACTTGGACAGCCTCTGGTGAATGAAAACCCCCAGCTGACAGATGGTTGGGACATTCCAACGTATCTTTAAAATGGATAAATTGACACATCATCAAAAATCGGCAGTCTTGTCTACCAGTTCGTCTGATGTGAACATGTGTTGCACATTTGAGAAGTATTTTGAATTGGGATAATAATTTTCCTTTTTAAAATAAATATGTCCTGATTTGAAATATGGCAATTTATTATAAAATATCCAGCATATAAGTGGCATTTGTGTTGAAATAGACAAGATACAGAGTTTGTTGCTTTGTTTTGCACAAACATAATACAATTTCCTGAATTGTTGCAAAGCTATCACCAGGTTTTCAACCAAGTCATTGGCACAGATGGACAGGAAATAGAGATGAAAGACAAAAGGTATGTCAGGTTATTAATGAAGCTTTATTCAGTTTCCATCTTCGGTTTATGACTTGGTTTGTTTGTGGCATATATCTGCATAATGAGACAATCACTGATCTGTTCATTTTAGACCCAGATCAATGTGTTTCAACTGTGGTTTGAGTGGTCATCAGCTGAGAGACTGTCCCAAGGTAAGAACAAGTAAACATTATTATGGAATGAGCTTAAGTTAAATATAAGAAGGGTCTTGATTTACTACATTGATACATGTTTACCTTCCTAGCCCAAAGACATGACTGTAATAAATGAGCGAAGAAAGGAGTTTAATCAGGGCAGCAACCAGACCATGCAGAGTAACCAGCGGTACCATGCTGATGAAGTGGAGGAGCGGTTTGCTAAATACAAGCCGGGAGTCATGAGGTAGGATTGTTATGGTTGTAAACAACAGACACAAACATCATTTAATCACATTCAATATCTGTTGTACCAAGTAAAAATAAATCTTGATCAAGTAATGTTTTACATTGTGTTATGAACAGTGAGGAGCTGTTGACAGCCCTGGGACTTGATGGCAACACCCTCCCTCCTCTGATTTATCGCATGAGGCAGCTAGGCTACCCTCCAGGTTGGCTTAAAGAGGCAGAGATGGAAAACTCTGGCTTAACCATGTATGATGGACATGGTATGTTCGAAATGAAACTTGTGTGGTCGCACTGATTTTCTGTTGAGTAAACTACTGCAAAACATAATGTTATTGACGCGTACCACGGTTGGGCTGAAATCCTGTTTTTTGTTTTTTTTTCTGTTTTCTAGTTCCAATTGATGCTAGTTTAACAGACAATACCAATTCACAAAACATCTCCTATGACGTTTCCAAGCTGGTTGAATTCCCAGGCTTCAATGTACCTGCATCACAACAAATGAAAGATGTAAGTCCTACAATATAAACCTTTCTTGAATATATCACCAGTTATATGCGAGTTCAGGTATCTGAATTATATTCACATTTCAGTTATATTCATATTTGTTTTATTTATTTCTTCAGTTTTTCTAAAATCAGATGGAGGAAAATGGAAATCAATGCAATAAACTGTGATATTTGTGCTAAAATACTTCATAGTATAATTACAATTTTCTATTATTTCTAATTATTGAGATAATTGATTTATTCAAATACAGTACATGGAGTAACTTTAAGGTTTATGATTGTATTTTGTCTATCATAAGGAAACAGCATCCTAATGGCTGCACACTGTTTGAGTCATCCTTTTTATTGCCAGAGCATCTTTACAACAGTTGCAGATCTCATAGTTTTTTTTCTATTTTTCTGACGACCAGGACTTCATGCAGTACGGGTCAATTCCAATGCAGACCAACCACTTCAAGCAAAACTATGCCGCCTACCTGTCCAAAAACTTCCCAAAGGTAATTATCTTAAAGTCCCTGAAGTGATTGGGTTTTTCCTCACACCTGCTTCTATCTGACAGTCCTGCATCACTCCAACCATACTTTCTGGATATTACATGTCCAAACACCATTGGTACTATTTGTCAGACCTGTTCTCATTCTCCATGATACCACTGAAGTTACTATACTGTCGCATTAGAATTGTTGAAGGATTATTAATACCCTCAATCTTGGTACTTGAACATGAGAGTAGAGTATAGGCAGATGCATTACATTTTCATAAGGTGATCAAATAATAAATTCACAGAAGTTTCAGTGTTTGTGTCCTTTTCATCCAACAAAAATCAGAGGACATAGAATGGATGTACCTATAGGACAGATTACAAACACTAAAAATTATAAACGAACTATGCCAAAAAATGCACTTCTAATGTAAAGTCTTCAGATAACTTGGAGGATTTGAGAGAGAAAATAATTATTCGCCACATGCTGCTGGTCCCCACTGACCGGGTTTAACGCACTACCCACATTTAAATTAATGGGAGAACTGGCAATTTTGCTGCAACATTTGATTTGGTGTGAATGCAGCCTCAGCCCGCCATTTGGCTCTATACAACGGGTCATGTTTTCCACATTCTTCATAATCCCACTTAGACAGCCATTCATACTAACCCAGTGCACAGTCCTCTCTGTCATTCCAGCCTCTGGATTTTTTAAGTTAACACTGTTTATCAATTTACTGGCACTGATAAAGAGAGGATGTGTAATCACTCAGCATTTGGGCACAGCCTTTAAATACTTGTGTCATTCTTCCTTGCCAACAGCCTGGTGCCTCCTGCAACAAGAGACGGCATGAATCTGAGTCATCTCCACACCAAAGGAAGAAGACGAGGTCCAGTCCTGATAGGAACTCCGATAGGAGCTCGGACATGGATGTTGAATCAGGTAACTGTTCGTCTCAGTTACGTTTTTCAGCAGGCTCATCATTTGTCTTTCACAAGTTACTTGATCACAAAGGCTGAAGCCGTAATCTGTAATTTTCTTAATCTTGATATCCACTCTGTTGCTTTATGACATGATTAAAAAAAAAAAAAACTGCTTTTTACAATGTTGCCATGTTTTAAAAAGCAGCTCCTCTGTTTTTATTCGTAGCTCAAATGCAGAATAATGCATCGTAACACTCACTTTCTATTTTTTGGTGTCACTCCTCAGACCCAGGAACACCGTACTGTGAGGGCCGAGGTGATTTCCAGTTCCAACCTCCACTACCCCCTGGCTCCCCTTGCTTCAGCTCACCGCCTCCTTTACCACGGGGCACTCCTCCTGCTACACCCACTCCCCCACCTCTCCCTAAAGGGACACCTCCTCCCACACCCACTAACGGCTCCCCAGCTCTGCGGGGGCCAAAATATATAATCGTTGATGACACCGTGGACGAAACGGAGGATGAATTGACATTGGAGGAGCTAGAGGAGCAGCAGAGGTTGATTTGGGCGGCTCTAGAAAATGCTGACACTTCCACTAATAGCGACTGTGAGACACCTGCAGCGGGAACACCTGTACCCAGTTCACCAAGTGTGTCCACACCTGCTTCTGCCTGCACCCAAACGGATGTAGTTGAAGAAGCGATGGACACAACAAGGCCTGAAGAAACCTGCCACAGCAATAAAAATCAAAGGAAACCGAGGGTTGAAGATGTCAGCCCTCAGAGTCCTGGTCCAGTCAAAGCCCAAGATGTCAGCCCTCAGAGTCCTGGTCCAGTCAAAGCCCAAGATGTCAGCCCTCAGAGTCCTGGTCTTGTCAAAGCCCAAGATGTCAGCCCTCGGAGTTCTGGTCCTGTCAAAGCCCAATATGTCAGTCCTCTGAGTCCTGGTCCGGTCAAATGCGAAGAAAACAACCCACAGAGCCCTGATGATTTCTCTAATGACGAGAGGATAACCGCTGTTCCTCATCGGAGCCGGTTTGCAGCTGGCATTGTTCCATTTGAAGATACACCAGAGTTCACTGAGGTTGCTGAAGCCACAGGAACATATCTTAGGATCAGAGACGTGCTTAAAAGTTCCCCTCGCAGTTTGGCGAGGAAAAAATAAAATATGTACCGTGTTTGTTTGGACACATGGACATTTTTTTTTAAACAAAAACCTATTTTTTCATTTTCATGACCATCCTATCAAGCGTGATTTTAGCTGTTTATCATTTTGTACCAAGTTGAATGTCTATGCTTTGTATATACACATGTTATCTGTGAACATACCACCAGGGATAGGCATTTAGGGATGCTGCAACAGCAAGTGTGTCGGTTTTGATCAATTGGTCTCTTTTTTGTTCTTCAAGCAGTTGTTACTCATGCTGTTAATTTTATTGTAAAACTTGTAATTTCGTGACCTGTATAAATGGCTTTCTATTTTTGTCTCACTCAAAATGCTCTCTGAGTAAAAATGCTTTCCCTTGCTTCTGTGAATTATTTCGTCTGGCAGCCGTGGATCGATGTGGATTTGATTTATTTTTGCTATATGTTGACAGCACAGATGGCACAGTATGTGAGCTAACAGTGTATAGTTGATTGTTAGCCATCTTTACTAGAGCTTAGTGAACAAATTGACTCGTTACATTACGCTTGGTCTACATTTTGTCTTTATTCATCAAATAGATTCATATCACAGCTGAAATAAAGTTCTTTCCCCCCCTTTCAAACTGATCTGGCAGCAAAAAGGCATCATAAAGTGTTCAAATACAGTTTCAGCACAACTTTAAATATGTTAGGCAATAGAGACTGTTACGACCCCTCCCCTCCACTAGGGGTATGTGTCCTGTTAGCTGGCTCTCTTCTGTCTTTCAGGATGTTGATCGTCAGCTGATGAGCCACACCTGAGCCTGGTGTGGTTCCAGATTTAAAGTCTCCACCTGAACATTGACAGCCTTATTTATTTGCTCACACGGCTGCTGTTTAGTTTAGTTTGTTCCAGACATTTTCACACACGACATTACTGATTACTGACTAATTTACTTAAAACTCGTCTGGTCTCCCAGCTATGTTGCATCCTTGGAGCCGGGTTGGAACAAGATGCAAATGAGTGTTGGTCAGTCATGATGAGCTTTTCTAATAAAATGGTTGACTGGTGGGTTTTCTTTTGCAGAAAATAGGGTAACAATATTCTTATACTTTCAGGAGGAATTTTAAAAATAACTGATTTTGGAGCATGCAAAATTGTAGTACTAATAACTTCCCATATGCAATTGAAAATATTTTATTCTTAGAAAAACATTGCATGCTGTTTAAAAGTTTAGATAATTTAGCAACATCGTGAATGTTATGTCAATTGTGTGTCTCTATGACTGTTCAATTCATATTCCAAAATGTTAGAACATACAGTACACACCAAAACTTGTATGCGCAGTATTTGCACTTAGACTTGTAAATGACTTGCACATAGTTGCATACTAAATACTCATACTCCTACATACAGTACATACTAATGCAAATATGCATGCATACACAAGCCCATGTGTGTGGATGTACTAAAAGTTATTTCACCCCTTACAAAGAGAAACGTTTGAGACCATAGCCTCTATATAAGAAGGTTGAGTCTCATACCTTTTGTGATAAAGCTATTAATCGCAGACAAAGTTTAAACTCAACTTTTATATTCTTTCTTCATATTGAAAAGTCAGAAATTTAAGTTAAAATCGGGACTATTATCTTGGAATTTAGACTCGGATATTTTTTTCTGAATCTTAAAATTCTGGTATTATGATCATAAATGTGAAGAGTCTGAGATGAATTAAACCTGTTTTCACTTGGTCCAATGGATTTACTTCCTGCACGCTGTATGCTTAAATAATAAAACAGTTTATTTGACAATATTACAACATTTGAACCGCCCAATAGTAAAACAAACAAACAAAAAAAATGTACAATACAAGCTAAATATGAACACATTTTAGCTTTATGTGACTCCCTTTAACTTCCTAATTGTCACAGTAAAGTTTGTGTGTCAGGAGATAGTTTTGCTCTCTCAGAAGTGAGGGAGTGTTCATCTCGCTGAATATTTCATCTCTGATTGACACCGGCCGTTGACGTTTCTCTCTCGGCCGTTGGACAGACAGCTCGTGCACTGGGCTGAGCCTGATCCGTCTAAATCCGAGCAGTCACTCGTCGTGGTTCTCCACTTAGCTTGCTAGCTGTGTATTTCCTCCTGAGAAGACGTAGGCTGTGTACAGAAACATATCAGGTCAGTCCTAGCTAGCTCACGCCAAGGTCGTGTATTTCCGTAAACTTGCTTGTCTTTTTGCTGCAGGTAGTTCAGGAAACTAACCGCAAGGCTAAAGTTGTCCAGGTAGTGTAGACGTTACTTGAGGTGTTAGTTTAGCTAACCTAGCTAGCTACCTTCTCTTGGTCCCGACCACCGTTCGGGCCTCACTGCTAACGTTACTTAGCAACTAACGTTAGTTGGATATATTATTATCGTGAACACAGGCTGGGATTTAGCCAGAGAGGTGACAGTACAGTCACCGAACTGCTTATAACAACAACATATCTTTACAGGTGACCTACGCTAATCTGTCACAATTTGTTAGGCTGACTCTGAACTTGTAGCAGCAGTGTGACCTACTGGAGACACATAGGGAGACTTTTGGACCTGTGGAATTCGCTTCAGTCGCCCTGTTTACCACAGTGGTCAGTCACTGGGGAATTCGGATGTTTAAACATGTGGCTGTTACCGATATAAGTCACCTTAAATAGGATATTGTCTCACCAGAGACGTGGATTCAATTAGTAAGGTAAGTTAGCTGCAGTGGTGTGTTTTAACAGGCTCTTACCAGATGTGCCACCTCATCGACAGCTCTCACTCCGTTAGCTAACGTTACTGAAGAAGGTCTCAAGGCGAGGCACGTTAAGCCCATAACCTCAGGAGACCTTACTTAACAGGTACACTGCAATGTGTCAGTGCAGCAACATGCAAGTTCAACAGTAGAGTGTCTGCATTTGAGAGTTTAAAGGTTTAAAGGTGTGACTTCGGCAAAGCAGTTAAACTTGTTTGGGCTTGATGGGTTGCAGTCTTAGGAATTGCAAAGGCAATATCACTAGAAATTTTGAAGTTCCTGTATTTCTACTAGTCTTTGTACTTCTCCATATGGAGTTCCGGATATATGAGAGAATGCTAACATTGGTGGGGAGGCAGATAAAACAACCTAAATTGGTAACTTTACAGAAATATTATCTTTTTTTCATGCATGCACCATTTATATGATTTTTACATTCACTTATCATAGTACAAACACCCTGTTTTAGTTGAAGAGGCTCTATTGGTTGTGGAAATACTGGATTTTACATTACGTCAACATTGGAAACCTTGACTACTAAACCATGTGATTATTGTTTCAGTTATGCCAGGGCACAACTGTAAGTGTCAGGATCTGCGTAGGACAGGGCAGTGGTGTGTGTGTGTATATATACACAAGCTGTAATAGGTTTTATGTTTACCTGTTGACAGTGAGGATTGTTAACTTAAACAGGTGAGTGTATTCCCAGACAACACTGGTGCAGAATGCTTCTGCTTCTTATTTTGTGCTCATGTCCTGCTCGTGCTTTTTTTACACCTTCCTTTGTCAGTGCTAGCAGGGTCCGACACAATCATCCCGGCAGATGTTTCCTCAAAAAGGAAGAACCAGAGCTCGATTTGGCCTCGTGATGACAAAAGCAAGAGTGTAGGAGTGAGGGTTACATCTGTGAATACACTCCTCTGAAGACGTAGAGGCGTACTAAGCAGCTACGGTTGTAGCTTTAGACCAATCAGCAACAGCTGGACATGCTATAAAAACATTCCAAGGAAATCTGTTTGTACTGGGTTCAAAAATCTTGATCTCGATGACTTATATTAACCTATGGAAATAGCCTTGTGGAACGAAAACCCACTGAATTGTGTAATCGGTGACACCCTCCCATCAGTTAACAAACATTTGGGCGGCTTGAGGGATGCAGATTTTCTGCTGTTATTACAAAACATGCAAGCAGATCAGCTAACATCTGTATCATAAGTGGTTTTGCACTCCTGTAGTCAGCAAGAAATGCTTCGCTGAAGTATTATGAAGATACTCATCTGCAGATGGATTTTATTTTATCATTTAGGAAGTTTTTTCCAACATGCTTTTGGTAATTGCTTCCAGTAAAATCCTCACAAAGTGTGTCTATTCTGTTCATATCCATTGCCTAAACAGTCTCTGAGCACATGAACTTCTGTCATTACCACCATGGAAATCGATTATGTCTACGCTGTCTTTTTAAGAAGGCTCAGTTCTGTTTTAGAGGCTACCATCTACCCGTTTCTATTTGTGTATTTACATCACAAAACATTCATCCAAACTACATGGAATTTGGAGGTAGTTTAGTTAAGCTTAAGTTTAATCTTTTTCTTAATTTTGCTTTTTAATACATTATCATATTGATTCCCTTTTAAACTTTTGAAAAACATTGGTATTTGGCTTTCTTCCTAGCTGCAGATTAAAGCAACTGTCGGTGGCAAAAGATTAACATTACTGTAGTGGGAACTTCTCCAGACTAAGTGGATCATTTTCAGCTGACTGCTTCAGTTCACCAAACAGAGCTGAAACAGCCTCAGTTAATGCTCACACTAGTCGCAGTAAAGCCGGGTGACGTTCAACTGCGGCTTCATAATGCAGTTGGTTTTTAGACCCACTAGTCCTATTCCACAGGCTTATGGCTCATTCATAGATATTCATCAAAGTTGTGACATTTTTTTAATGTTTCCCTTTTAGATTTGGATCGTCAAACGATCAATTCAGCTTTCAGCAGTGTTCAGCTTTTCAAAAGCTTTCCGTCTCAGACCTCCTCTTGACCCGAGGGAACCAATCGGTATCATTCAAAGGCACAGTGGGAGAAAACTGGAACGCTGCATTTGAACTAGGTCACTGCATTCTGACGGCCAGTCTTTATTTTCCATCGAGAAATGTCTAGGAGGGTGTGTGTTGTGTTGCAGCGTGTCCTCTCGATCCTTGAAGTGAACTTACATGCTGTAGCTCTTAGGCCCGTTGAGGAATGAAAGGGACGTTTGTATGATGCTGTTGAACAAGTTCTATATTAGATGTCTACTCTGTGATGTCGAGCGTCTTTGCTGACTTCAAACGGACTCAAAACAGTTTGACTTTGCAAGAGAGGTGATAAGGCACTGGAGGTGTTGATTTACAATTTTTTAGGCATATTTCAGGGCAAAGAATATTTTTAAATCAAGAATGTTAATCAAAATACGCTCTCTGTTCTCACCTGTAAGGTGCTAAAGCAAATCCCGATATATATATATAAATCTATCCAAAAGAGGTGCTGTTCTCGAACTGGTAGGGGAACTGCATATGGAATCCAATAAAATAAAAATAAAGTGTGGAAACCCCCTTGGTAAAAATGTGTATTTCTTTGCGAATCACACTTTTTTCATCATAGAGGCCTGCTTGTACACATGCACAGTGCAGTAATTGTTAGGTCACGTTGTTGACAAAGCAGCTCATCCTTGCTTTAGGTTGCTTGTAGTTTGCTTTTAAAGATTGTAGTAGCTCAATCAAGCATCAGGATTGGTGTCCTATACTTTCTATACACCTGCTGAGATCCTGTTGGGGATGCTACAGATCTGACAGTAGATTGGCCTGAAACTCAAAGCGTGACAGTAGTTTTTCTGTTTTGATTGAATGAATCCAGGCAATAGCAGTATAAAAGCCACAATGCATCACTGAGTCAAACTACTAACAACATTTTAACATGTTAAAATAGTACATTCAGCCAATCAATTCTGTGGTCAGGTAATCTGACAATCGGCCTAATCTGCTGGTGATTGTGGTCTTGTTTCCACAGTAATCCTGTTTTTAGGAAAAGCTGCCAAACAGATTTCAGCGATTTTATGCACCAGAATTATAGATTGAGTGAGAGAGTGTTTGGGGTGCTGCTTGTATTGTGGTCAAGGTCACAGATGTTAAGCTCTTCAGAAGTTCATGATGGCAGTAACATAGACTGCATATCGACTGGCCTTAAACGGGGTATTTTTAGGTCTTAACTGTGACGTGGTGTGTACTGAGGACCTCGTTGTCATAACAGAAACAAAATGTCTCCGTTAACAGAGCATCACAAACAAAGTCAATGAACATGCCTTATCTGTAGCTAGTTATTAGTTTACTTATTACATTAAATGTTTGCTGGCAGAGATGGGAAAAGTCAGCAAATGGTACATTTGCCAAAATAACAAATTGATTTTGTTAAATAGTTTCTTGTTAATTAGCCAGCAGTGATTCTCTGAGTGCTCAGTAAAAAACATGATTTATTTAAGTAATATTTCTTTTTTTTCTCCCTTCCAAACAGGGTCCTTTTTGTGAGCAGCACTTTTTCTCCCTCCTCCCTTTTCCTAGTTTTTCTTTTTGTTTAACATATTTTTTCTTTTTTTTTTTTTTATTTAACATTTTTTTGTCAAATTAATTTTGGTGAGGAGAGAAAAACTTCACCAACACAGAGCTGCCACTTGTTGTTTTGATGGTCTGGGGTCAGTCTGTACCCTACAACGGAACGCCTTGTGGGTCTAACAGATCACAAGAGGAAACATGAGCACAGCCAAGCCCAGTGGGATCAAAGGGCCCAGCAAGATAGGAAGGCCCCCTGGGACAGTGGCCCCCAAGACCAGCACAGGTAAGAACCTCCCCTTGTGCAGCTTCTTCACCCTGTGGGGAACTTGTGGCAGTGCAGTGTTTGCCCTCGAGTGTTCCCGAGCCAGAGATTGTTTGGTTCATGAGTGAATGTGATATTATGTCAAATGTTGTGTCACGCTCTTTTTGGCAGACCTGTTGGTCCTAGTTTATGTCATTATACGACTTAGCTTGTAGTGCCTTCTAGCTTTTTTACAGTTTTGTTTTTATGGGCTGATATGTCTGTCTCGTTGCAAGGAGCTTCAGCCCGAACAACTGTACAAGGCTGTTTCATTTCATTGGATGAATAGAACTGATAAATGACATACACTCACCAGCTATTTTATCTCAAATCCCAAGGAATACACAACAGCAGACCCACCTTGAGATCTGCTGAACACACTTTTGTTTAGGTTGCATTTAATCACAGCATGAGAGCATAGTAAAACATCCTAATGAACAGTAGGATTGGGATCCTCAGATTTCCTATATGCCAAGTTACACATGTAACTGTTAAGAGGATGAAAAGTCCAATGGAGACTGTGGTGGATCTAACACAGAAAGGTTAATCGTCTGGGCTTTTGACATTCACGACACTTTCTTAAATCATTAGTCTACTTTTGCCAAAAGAAATGACATGCCAATTAAGACCTAAATTATGTGATCATGTGTAATATATTACAAACCAATGTAATGGAAAGGTGATAAACAATAATATTGAATAGTCACCTAACCTTAGATAGGGGCGAACATTGTGCTGTATACCATATAAACCACTCTATATGTCTTGGTCTCTGGGTTGAGAGTACTGCAACAGGCCAATTTTGACTGAGAGTTTCATTTTAGAGTAGTGCCACGGGAACAGCTCAGTCCTAGTTGGCTTAGGTGTGCAGTAAGGGGCTCACAGTCTCATACGCGAGGCAAGTGACTATTTTGTGCAGTGTATGGGGATGGCATTAAGGAGATGTAGGCATCCCAGCTTTCACACCAACAGCTTGCCAAAACAAAAGTAATAATTTGTATGACAATAGTTTTGCTCCTGAAACATTTAGCCTAGATCTCATTTGCCTCAGTCAATTGGAAGTCCCGTAGAAATGTTAGTTTACGATACCTTTTTAAGTTAGTAAGGAAACGCATTCAAACAGAGGAAAGATTAAACATGCATAGTATATTCTGTACATCAAATCACATGATATTTAAATGCTTTGCAGTGCATTGTGACATTTGTCTTTCTCAGACAATGGAGTTTTCAGACCCCTGTTCTCTCTCTCCTTATTTGTCAGCGGGAGCTAAAGTTAATGCGGCCGACAAATCAGATGCAAGTGCCACTGGAGGAGATGCCGAGAGTGCCGGGGAGAGCTTCCAGATAGGGGAGCGTGTGTGGGTGAATGGGAATAAAGCAGGCCACATACAGTTTTTGGGAGAGGCACAGTTTGCCCCAGGACAGTGGGCCGGGATTGTTCTAGATGAGCCAATTGGGAAGAATGACGGGTCAGTTGCAGGTGTTCGCTATTTCCAGTGTGAAGCCCTGCGAGGAATATTTACCCGCCCGTCCAAGTTGTCTCTCACAGAAGGGGAGGCTAATGGAACGGAGACGGCACCCCCCTCCCGCGCTGCATCACCCACTCCTTCAGTTGGCAGCGTAGCCTCGCATACACCTGCCCCAAAGTCAACATTACCCTCAACTACAACGGCAACCAAGAAGGCCTCCTCCACTACGCCAGCTGCACCATCCTCCAACCTCGCACGAACAAACAGTGAATCTATCTCCAACCTCTCCGAGACTGGATCAGTCAAGAAGGGGGAAAGGGAACTGAAGATGGGCGATCGAGTATTGGTAAAGTTCGTTACATTATCTAACAGAAAAACCATTTCTTCTCTTGATATTCCACCATATGACTAACTGAACTCTCCTCTTCTTAGTAATTAACGGTCGGAGTTAAAGGAAGTACTGGTAGTAACACTGCTCTGTGCAGTCCTGTACATTTCATTGCATTTAGAGAATTTGGTTTTACATGGTGTCCATATGTTGACCATATGTTGACCTTACTTTGGCCTCATTCTGTTCAAAGCCGGTACATGTTTGTTTCTGTTGCTTTGATGGAATTATCTCACTCAGGGTTTACTACCAGGCAAAGCTGATTACTCTCTAGGCCTCTCTTATCTGTTGAGGAGATTAAATGTTTGCTAATATTTTGTGTTTTCTTCTCAGGTCGGTGGTACAAAGGCAGGAGTGGTACGTTTCCTTGGAGAAACGGATTTTGCTAAAGGCGAGTGGTGTGGTGTGGAGTTGGATGAGCCCTTAGGAAAGAATGACGGGGCAGTGGCAGGCACAAGGTACAACAGCCACTGGATCTGTAAATAACTAAAAGTTAACAACATGTATACTATGATTTACATTATCATATTTCTGTTCCGTTATGTGTTCCCAGATATTTTCAGTGCCAGCCCAAGTATGGCTTATTTGCTCCGGTGCACAAAGTCACACGCATTGGCTTCCCTTCCACCACGCCAGCCAAAGCAAAAACAACAGTTCGCAAAGTAGTGGCCACACCATCAGGGCTGAAGAGAAGCCCGAGTGCCTCTTCCATCAGCACCATGAGCTCCGTGGCCTCCTCGGTCAGCGCCAAGCCCAGCCGTACAGGCCTGGTGAGACATGGACACACTCGGTTTCACCTATTATTATTTTTTATGCTGTGCTTACTCCCCCGTCTGACCTTGCTTGTATTCTGTCTCTCCATAGCTAACGGAGACGTCATCGCGGTATAATCGCAAGATTTCGGGCACCACGGCCCTGCAGGAGGCGCTGAAGGAGAAGCAGCAGCATATCGAGCAGCTCATGGCTGAGCGGGACACGGAGAGAGCTGAAGTTGCTAAAGCTACTGGCCATGTTGGAGAGATGGAGCAAGAGATTGGCCTGCTCAGGGAGGAACAGGAGCAGGTCAGCTCTCCCTGTGGTTCAGTAATAACACTCCTGTTGGTCCTAAAGTACACTGAGAATTAGAGCTGCCTGGTCATCTACATTGATATTTTTTTTATTTTGATCTACCTTTCCGTTGAAGATGGAGACCAAGATGGATCAGTTACGTGCCTTGGTAGAAGCTGCAGACAAAGACAAAGTGGAGATGCTGAACCAGCTGGAGGAGGAGCGTAGGTAAGGATTCCCAGACAGTCACCCAGGGCAGTATGTCAGCATCTAGTGTTTCCATTTTATTGGGTGAGTTTGTCAAAAGAAAAAAATGAGAAAAGGGCATGACAAGTAAATAAATACATACTGATATCCATGTGGTCTTATATATTTATAGTTGTATATTATATGAAGTGTCTACTGTATAAAGTCCTGAGGAAAGATATGTGCCTGAGTTGGCTTAACCTTGCTCTTCATCTACATATATGTTATAGGTTGTTAGTTCTCCTGTTATGTCTAAACAACAACAACGCTCCCTCAAGATAATTATTTTCTGTTGAACAGGAAGGTGGAGGACCTTCAGTTTCGCGTAGAGGAAGCTTGCATTACCAAAGGAGACCTGGAGGTAAACGCACAACACAAATCCACACCATTGCAACTAACACTTTTTTTTGAATTCCTGTTTGAAAAGAAAACATTGATCAATTCAATAATATCAAATCAGACATTTCCTTTTTTTTGATTGAACACAAAAGTGGATGTTTTGTCCCACTGATCTTTTGTTTCTAAGTCTGAGGCAGCAGGTGCTCCATTCACCCTGCACCGTGGTTCAGTTCACATATACCTTCCTCTATTTCCATGACAATAAATGGATTTACATATTTCTTTACTGCACATCAGTGTGTCTCCTTGTGTGCAGGTCCAATATGATTTAAGGTTGCAAGGGGTTAACTGGTATCCCTTGTCACTGAGCTACAGTTGCGTCCAGAGAGAGCATTTTCACTGTCTCTTGTTTATGTTAGCAATGGAAGCTATCCATTCTGCAGCCTCAATAAGTTTGCACGGACAGTTTGATACATTAGATGATGTGCAGTCAAATGCACCCAGTGGTGCAGGAAGGCTCTGGCTTTGATGACGAGGCAGAAATGAATACATACTGATATCCATGTGGTCACTGAACAAAAGGCATATTGATATTGTTGTAGTAGGGTTAACCGGGTGAAATACTTAATGTAGAGTCAAGTTGTATGGTATATATTATATTTTGGAAATATATTGTCCAAGTTAATTATCAAAGCTAGGGGGATTGTTTTTTCCTACACATAAGGCTATGTGAGGGAAATAATGTTAAAATGTATAATGTCAAGGATTTGTTATTTATTCCACAGTGCTACACAGGGGACCATCTCAATTACCCTGAAGGCAACCAAGCTCAAACTAGATGTTTAAATTGAGGGCTACAGGGTTAGAATATCCCTTTTATCTTCTTTTTAAACGTGTATACTAACAGTTTATTACTTACTCACAGCTGTGGATATATTTTAGACTTGCATGCAGCTTGAAAGACATCAACAAAACTTCTAATCGGCCAAACTCAAAAACTGCTTTGTTGACTTCAAGCTGTTGAAGGTGTGATTACTAATGTTGTGCTATAACCCTCGGTGCCTCCCTGTTCAGTGATGTGATGTTATTGCTTCTTTTTCCTTCTCTTCCTCGTCTTATATGTTGGTCCAGTGCTCAGCATGGAACCACTGGAGATGCTCCCTTGTCATCCCACTGTCCAGTCACAGACCTGTATTCAGTTGGCCCACTGCAATTTAATGGGAGAAACACTCAACTTCAAAATTCTAATGTAATTTTTATACAAAGTACAGTAAAAATATAGTTTGTACCTTCTCAACATCCACGGACAATGAACAATGGGTGCATATAAGTAAACTTGCATTCAAAGTACCCAGAAAATGTACAGTGAGCCCTAAAATATATTTCTGGTAGTTTCATAATGACATTCTTCTTGTCTTATTCATAACCTTTGTGTATGGCATATACTTAAGTTAGTCAGCCATGACAGTTTATTTTGTCAGTTTGTGTCCATCAAACACCTGGTATAAGCTGTTGACATAATATTTTAAATTGGTGCTATTTCCCTTTTTTAAAATGAAACTTTAAGTCAATATATGCTGGGTTAACATGCAAGACCATAATCACAAACTTGTGCCATGAAATGCTCCAATAAGTTACTATAAAACCATTAGTCATAGCACACAATAACAAGAAGTCAAATGGGAACCCTTTCTGTTTCTTGGGCCCTACAGCTTAAGCTTCTGCGTTATTGATTGATTTCTCTTAAGTTGGTCACAAATCCTGCACATGGTGTCTGATAACGGGTGGTTTCTATTACAATACTTACTCTACTGTGGACGATGGCCTTACCATTAATGAGAGAAAGCAGCGTGGTTATTGATAATGCTACCAATATAAAATCAAGACATAATGTTGGTTTAGTTTTAAGTACGACCAATGCAGCCATATGTCTTTAGAACTTTGTGTTGTTAAATCAAAATGACAATCCTAGAACATCAGATATCTTCTGTGTGATCTAATCCATTAAAATATCGGGCTCAGGAAACCGCCATCGCTGCTTTCTCTCCATGATGTGGTGAAGTCATTTTTACGTAATATACTTGCTGGCTTGACACATTATCAGATTTTCAGTGTATCATAACAATCGATGTGCTTTGTTCACCAGGTGTCAACTTTGCATGGTTACTTATAAACTGCCTCCATCAACATACTCATCCTGCATATTCATAACACATGGCCCCCTCTTTGGTCGCTTGTTTTGTATTTCCCACCATTCTTTCACAAATGCCCTGTGTGCAGCTGTTTATGGCACAGCCTGAAGGTTCTGCATGGGGTGTCTTCCCATTGTCATCATTCACTTCCCACCCAATACCCTTTCCCCAATCTCCCAAATACACACATGCGCATACACACACACACACACACACACACACACACACCATCACCATTATCCTTGTCCGAACCCCTCCATCCTCTCTCCTGTCTCACTCCCTCTCTGTCTGCATTGGGCTGGCATGTGATGGTGGCACTGGTGTGTTCTCTTCCTCTCCCCCCTTGTTTACTAACAGACGCAGACCAGACTGGAGCATGCCCACATTAAGGAGCTTGAACAGAGCCTACTCTTTGAAAAGACCAAAGCTGAGAAACTCCAAAGAGAGTTAGAAGACACTAGGGTAATGAATTCCGCTCTGTAGTGCGCTGCGTTGGAAAAGAGGGCCTGTGCCGGGGATAGTGGCCAAAACATTTCCACGGGGTACAGAACGGTGCTGGGCAGTAACTGGAGCTTTGCTTTGTATGAGCTTGCATTTGTCGGCATTCACACAAGAAAAAGAATACTCCTGATTTATAACATATGATTATGTTTGTTTAAATGCTCAAATCAGTCCATCTAGGGTAGAGTAAGATTTGCAAATTTAGCATTTCAAATTGTGGCTACAGAATACATTTGTAACCATTTCTGAAGTATCATCTTCCCTCATCTTTAAATTGATTCACTCAAAATTATTTTACGTTTAAATTATTACTGTAAAAACTAATCATACGCATCTTTCAGCTGTCTTGAGTAACAGCTCTTTAATTTGTACTATTTTCCGATAAGTTGCCCAACCTGAACTCACTCCTGCTTTACTGGTATCACTGCTTAACCAGACAGACAAACTTCTCCCGTGTCCCCGTCCTCGGTTCTACTTCCCCGGTCCCTCCCAGCATCCATTTGTCCTGCTTATTTGGTGTCCTTGCGTTTGGCTGGTCCAATACCTGCCCCACCTCCCAGACTAAGCATCCTTGTGTTCCCTTACGGTATTATAGTCATAAAGGGCATCAGGGAAAATGTATGTTCGTTAATTTCAGGCCATCGTTTCTCCAGGTTCCCTTTCGACAATTATTTGATCAAGAAAATGTTGATTTTGATTAAATAATTAAATTAACCAAGCTATTAAATATTAGGTTGAAGCAGTCAAAAGAGATGTTTGGGATTAGAATAAACACTAGATTTGGAAGATAGCTGCACTAACATAAAGATAGTGGGACATGTCAATTCTCCCAAAGTGTTTTCTTACTTCATACCTCTCCTAAATCATGTGGTTAGTATTACCATGGATTCAGTGATTGAGAGTGTAATGGATGGTGGAAAATGTCTTACACACTACTATAGCTCCATACATGCTTTCAGTGTTCACTTCCATTATTTGGACCATACCGTTTATAGCCACGAGAGGTCAGTGTAACACCTTGTTTTTGAGATCAATGTTTTTCATACCCTCCTCATTATGCAAGCAAATTGGACAATTTCTCTGTCAGAAACATTTTAAATGTGTTGTTTAACAATCCCTTTTTTTTCATTTGTTCAGTAACAGTAAAGTATGATCAAGTCTTTAACAAACTTGTTAGTACACATTGCTTCAGCATGTCAGACGCATCATTGAATATAAGATTTCTGCTCTTAAAGGTTGCTACTGTGTCAGAAAAGTCCCGCATTATGGACCTTGAGAAGGATCTTTCTCTGCGTACAAGAGAGGTAGCTGACCTGCAGCTGCATCTTGGGACCCAACAAGGCTCTGAGGACTCAAACTCAACGCTTTCTCCTCTTCTGGAAGAGATAAAGTCTCTGAGGGATAAGTTGGCTTCCCAAGAAGTTAAGCAGAAAGAAGAGCTAACAAAGTACAAGGAGAAGCTGCATGCTCAAGAAAAGACCCACAGTGAGGCAGCTGCCCATCTCCAGGCTACATCTGTAAGGCTCTCTGGGGACAACGAACAGTTGCAGATGCGCGTAAGCCAGGCTGAGAAGGAGAATGCTGATGTTATTGAAGTGTGGCGTTCGAAGTTGGAATCTGTCATTGCCTCTCACCAGCAAGCCATGGAGGAGCTGAAAGGGTCCTTCAGCAAAGGCGCAGGTGCCCAGACAAAAGAACTTATCGAAACCAAAAGTGCACTAGAGAGTCTGAAAATAGAGCACAATTTGGCTCTAGAGGAGGCTGGAGCCAAGCATGAGGCCAATGCTGCAGCTTTAACTCGGGAGACGCAGGCACTGAAGGCTCAGCTGTTTTCTTTGATTGAGGACAAGGAAGGACTGGAGGAGTCACTACGGTCCAGCGTTGAAAAAACGGAGGAGCAGCACCTTGTGGAGATGGAGGAAGTTCTTGGAAAACTCCATAATGCTGAAGTTAAGGTGAAGGAGCTTGAGGAGAAAGAAGCAATGTTGGCACAACAGGCCCAAGCCAAGGACAGAGAAACCAAAGAGCAGATTTCAGAAATGGTGGCTCTGCGCAGCCAAGTAGCACAAGGTAACCAGGAGCTCGTGACCCTGAAGAGTCAATTAGAGGTGGTTCAGAGCCAAGGGAACAACCAGGTTGCCAAGGTGGGTTCACCTCCTGACCATATTCATATTTCATTTTCAGTGCGTCTCATGTTTGAGCAAAGTTGTGTCCTTTTTTTCTTCCGTTAATGTCATTTCCAGACGATGCTTCTTCTCTTTAGTCCTCTGTAATTTGTTCTTGACGTGTGCTATAGGTCAGTGACTTGAGCTCACAGTTGGAGGGCCGACAGCAGGAAGTCCTCTCTTTACAGCAGAGTCTGACCACTGCGCAGCAGGAGAAGGATGCCCTGGAACAGCAGCTTGGAGGCCTGGTGCGACTTATAACCACATTTTGGATGTGGATACAGTACCTTTTGGTGTTGGGATTGAAGTCATTGTATTTTTCATGTTCAGTGCCCTTCGATGAAAAACGATGAATGATTGAATCATGTCTGGCCAACATATACAAAGATACCGATATCTGCAATGAGCTAATATCAGTTAAAATATCTGTTCATCTGATGTATCAGCTGGTCTCATAAAAATACAACTATTCAAATGTTGTACACACCACGAAAATCAGAATCAACACTCAGGAAATTTTGATCTTTTGCGGAAATTCATACACACAAATTTGATGCAAAAATATCTTTCTCCACAGAAACAAAAGTTGTCTGAAAGCACAGAGGAGCAGACTACATCATCAAACACTATGCAAGGTGAATGAGAAGCCAGTGTAAAATTTCAGTTTGTGTTTAACGCCTTCTAGGATCTAAAATATAACGTTTCTTGTTTTGCAGAAACACTTGAGAAGCTCAGTAAGAAGGAAGAGCAGTGCACATCTCTGACCACAGAATCAGAGTCTCTAAGAAGTCAACTTGCAGGTGAGAACAGTAGAACTGCATTCATCTTGAATGTCTTGTATCTAGAATGCTTTTTTTCTCGTTGAACCTTAGAACCTATGAACGAAGTTGTCTTGTCTTAACTCAGGGCTCGAGAGGAAACTGAAGGCTGCCGACGAAAAGCTTGAGCAGCTCTCAAAGGACAAATGCAGGCTAGAAAATGATATTTCGGACATGATGAAGACATCTGGCGATAGTTCAGTACAGCTGACCAAAATGAACGATGATCTCATACAGAAAGAAAGGTGCCACACTTCATTTTGCCCTGCTCCCATATTACTTCATTACTCCACAAAACATATTATACCAATCATGTCAGAATTGGATACTCATTTCCCTGTGACGTATTAAGAAAAAAATCTTGCCTTTGTTTGATTCCATGCTGTAGTCAATTATTTTGTTAGTTATCTAACCTGTCACTGAACATCCTCCTCAGACGTCCTCTTTTTTGTTGTCACTCAGGAGGCTTGAGGAGTTACAGAGTCAACTATCGGAGGAGAAGGAGAAGGTGGCGCACTCGAATGAACAACTCCAGCAAGAACAATCCCGCAAAGAGCAGGAGCTGATGGAGACCAGAGATGCACATCAGTCTCAGATCAGTGGCCTCCAGGAGAAGGTTGCTAACCTGGTAAGTATTGTTGGGCAGTCGCAAAAATGTGTTTGAGAATTTAACTGCAGATACTTCAAGTTTTGTGGACATTAAAATGTGTAATACTAAGCATTGAAAAATCTTAAGTGTTTCCCTGAGTCACGGGCTGCTTGGAAACAAGTAGGTCATAATGATCGTCTTTCTAATTTTCTGTTTTCTAGGAGAAGACTGTTAAACAGGGAGAGACCCTGGTTGAGGAGCTCAAGGCCTCACAAGAGAAATCCGTCTCTCAGGTTTCAGAGCTTCATGTGAGGGAACTTGAGGTTCTGCAGAGTCGGGTTGACAAGTTGAAGCAGGAGCTCTCCTCCAACAAGGACAAACACCTGGAGCTTGAGAAGTTGGTGTCTGAGCTGCAGCCGTACAAGGAACAGGCTCAGGTAAGCACAAACCCTCCAAGATACACAGATATTAGTTTGATCAACGGGTTTTACATTTTCTGCCAGGAACTAGTTTCATGGAAAAAGGTTATTTTATGTATTACTGACTTTACTAATGTTCAATCATTGAAAATCATCCTTTATGTAAATGAAAATTTACATAAAGGATTTTTTCTATATTTAACATCAGTGATTCATGTATATTATCAACAACATTTTCCTGCTTAATTACCATCATACATATAATACAGACATACATTTGTGATGAGTTCCTCATTTCTGCCCCAACATAACCTCTTTCACATTCATTGGATGGTACCACTGGCCATATGCTTGCAGGGGTACACCTGATTAGAATCATGTTTTTAATGTATTTTAAGACCATTTATGATTAGTAGCCAAGCCAAACAAATGCTTAAGATACTTAACGAGTTGTGTTGTGGCTGCTAAATGGATATCTATGCACTGGGTAGGATTCAAGTTTAATCGGTAGCATTTACATTCTGTATGTAAATGTGTGTACAGCTATTGATTTAAATGTTCTACTACTTTAGCTCTGTACCCCTGCTTGCATTGTTTATTAGCCTGATATTTCATTTATGTGGAACATTTTCACTTTCTTACAAAATGGTTAGTTTTTTAAGATTCCAGTATATAATGTAAATAGTTTATTTGTATACAATTTAATTAAAAAGATTGGCCCCGTGGTCACCGATTGACTGATTGAGTTAGTATTGGTGCCTCTCTAGCCGTCAGCCACTCTTTGTTTATATCTCAGTCAAATTTGTTGGCATCATTTTAATTAATACATGTTTTAAAAGTAAGTTAGTGCTGAAGTGAAAATGTTCCACCTTTTCATATTGCTGAAAACCATTGTGGTGTTAGCTGTGGTGTGGTCTTTTGCCATTTTGATGCTCCTGCAGCTTAACCTTTCCAATTGCATATCACTTTGTTGGACATATCTGCTTGGTTTAGTTTTTGATTCAGCTTACTTTTCCATGTGTGTGTGTATGTGTGTATATATATATATATATATATATTTCCCTCCTTTTTTTTTTTTTTTTCAACTTTATTTTCCCAGTGTCTTTCTGCTGAGCTTGACTCCAACAAGCATGATGTTGAACATTTGACCAAAAAACTGGAAAAGCAGAGTCTAGATCTGGAAAATGCGTGTAAGGAAAGTGAAGATGTTAAGGCTGGGAAGGGCAAACTGGAGAAACGGCTTTCAGATATGCAGACTAAGCTCTCTGCCCTTGAGATTAGTCACCAGGAGCTTTCAGTCCAGAATGAAGAACTGCTAATAACTAGAGATACGCTTTCAAAGAATCTAGAGCAACTGTTTGCCAACAGCAAGTGCTCGGATGAAGACAGGATTTCATTGAACAAGGAGCTGGAGAAGCTCAAAGATCTTCTTCAAGAAGTACAGACTGAAAACCAAAACCTGAAACATGCCAAAGGTGAACACCAGGCGCAGATTGAGGAGCTTCAAAGACAAAATGCAGAGAAGAGTGACTTGCTCCTTAAGTATCAGCAGGACATCCAGCAAACTGAGACTACAAAGAAGCAACTGCATGAGGATTATGAAAATGTCTGCAAAGAGAAGAACAGGCTTGAAGATGACTTCAATGAAAGCGTGTCAAAGCTCACATGTGAGAAGGAAAATCTCATTTTAGAGAGAGATTCTACTAGAAATGCCAAAAAATCGCTTGATGCTAAGAATGCCGAGTTGCAGGCAAAATTTAAATCCTTAAACTTAGAAAAAGAAGATCTTACGATGAGGAACACCCAGCTGCAGGCCCTCACAGAAACACTGACAAAAGAAAAGGTGGGGATGTCTTCTGAAATCAGTGCTGCTTTGTTGGATAAAAAGAGCCTTGAGACTGTGAAGGAGGAGCTCCAGAATAAACTCAGTGCTGCCAAGAAAGATTTGGAGAGCTGTGTCCATGAGTGTGAAGAACTTAAAGCCTCCAAAATGAGCCTGGCCCAGATGCTTGAAGAGTTCAAGACCAGCAGTCAGGTGACTGATTCTGAGAGGCTTCACCTTCTGCAGGAGAAAGAAGACTTACTTGCACTTCAAAGAAAAGTCTGTAATGAGAAGGAAAAGCTCTTAAGAGAGATGGAAGAAATAAAGGAGAAGTTTCAAGTCTCAACAGAACAAGTTTTAAAGTCCAACAGGAAACTTAAAGAGGCATTATCATCTTTTGAGCAAGAGAAAGAAGCATTTCACCTTCAGAATTCTGAAATTGAGATGACTTTACATGTTGTACGAAAGGAAAAGATGAGCCTGGATTCAGCACTAGAGCAGCAGAAAATGGATTATGAGCGTTTGGCAGGAGAGATGGGAGAATTAGAAGTGAAGCACACAAAAACCATATCTGAGAATAATGCTCTTTCTCTTGAGCGCGATAAGCTAGCTAGTGATATTCGAACAAATAAGGACCAGTTGGATAGTTTCTCAAGAGCTAGTGACATCTTTATTCAAGAGAAGTCTGATTTAACCGCAAAGCTCGAGGACAGCAAACTCCAAAAAGACGAAGTGGAAGCAGAGATGACCTCTTTGAAACGAGAGAAGGCCGACTTACAAAATGAGCTGCAGAAGCACACCGTTGATATTGATGTTCTTAAAAAGGGCAACGCTGAACTTGTTCAGGAGCACAGTAAACTAAACATGGATTTCGAGAAGGCTAATTCAGAACTTGTGCAGCAGGTCGATAACCTGGCAAAAGAGTGTCAGCGGCTGCAGTCGTTGCAGACTGCAGCTGACGACAAAGTCCAATCCTCGCAGAAAGAGAACCACAGTCTGCTTCAGGAGATCCAGGAGTTAAAATGTCAGACTGAATCGATGTCGGGGGCCAAGAACGTTCTGGAAACCCAGTTACGGGCTGAGTCCAGTGAACGAAATAAAGCTATATCTGACAAGGATGGTCTATCCAAACAAATCGAGGAGCTGCAGAGAACGTTGTCCAAAGTTACGCAAGAAAATAAAGAGACGTCTTCTAATCTTCAGAATGCTGACGAGCAAAAGAAGGCTTTTATGGAGGATTTTAAGACACAATTGAAGCAGCGAGAGCAAGAAACTAGTCAGTTGACAGAAGATAAAGGGCAGCTATTATCTAAGCTAGAAGAAATTGGTAAACAAATGACCTCCCTGACCACACAGAAGGAAGACCTTTTAGCTGAACAGTGTAAATTGGAGCAGAACATTTTGTCTCTCCACACCAGCCAAGAAAAGTGGCTCGTAGAACGGTCAAGCCTCCTTGGAGAGATAGAAAACTTGCACACTACCCAGAAAGCACTAGAGGTCGATGTCAAGGGCCTACAAACGGAAAGAGAACTGTTGGAAATGCAACGCGAGAACGCTGTCGCGGAGGTTTCGGCTTCTGCCGTTGTGAAAGAAGAGATTTCCTCCTGCGTCTCAAATCTAACAGCCGAGAAGGGCGCCCTGCAGGTGGAGAGAGATGAAGCCGCCCAGAAAGTCAGGCAGCTGGAGTCCCAACTAAAAAATGCTATTTCTAAGCAGCTTGAGGTATTCCTCCTCCAGTAGTAACCCTTAGAGTGGCTGGGGCTATGTCACCTTCTCACTGCATGCTTGCTGGTTTGTCTCCCTTTCCTCTGTCCTTGTTGTTTTCGTGTCTAACTTTCATCTTCCATTTACTAACCGCTGTAAATTACCCCGAGCTCCCAGCCTTCGCCTGTGGGCTTATAACGTGATCTAATACGAGGCAAATTCTTTCGGCTTACATAACTATGTAGGTCTAAAGTGATCTTTATCGCACTCACCATCTGATGGCGTTTCATATTTCATTTGATTTGACATCCAGTTTTTAGAAGTTATAGCCCCAATATTCTGCTTTACAAATGTCATTCAGTCCAATTTTTAAAGGTTTTCTTGCAAAATCTCTCCGGTCCAATACACTTACAAAACTAGTAAGAAATAATGAGATGTTGATATAAAGCAGCTTTCAGGGGGGTCGGTATCCGTTCTGAGGCCACAGGAGTATTTTAGAGTGTATATATACTAATTATTTTCCTGCTTAGTGTAATTTTATGTTGTTAATTCTCAACCAGAATTTGAACTTGAAAATTTAAATGAACTGACATTTGAATACCTGATTCTAAATCAGAAATGAATGCCGAAAACTCATTAAGCATGCAATTAATGTATTAAATGTTAAAAATCATTGGTTGAGGTCAAACAGCACATTATGAATAGATTCGTCACATTTCTTATTTGGGTTGGTAGAGGTCAAAAGGTGTTGTATGTCAACCAACCATTTGCTGTTCTCAATTTGAAACCATTCTTAGCAAATGTCCTGCTCATGCACCATTCAGGCTACAGACGCCTCTGGCAAGACTGCTGAGACCCTTGAACAGCTGACAATGGAGAAGGCCAGTTTGATGCAGGAGAAGAACAAAGCCCAATCTTCACTGGAGGAACTCCTGAGCTCCAAGCAGAAGATGGAGGCACAGGTAAGATATGCTTGCTTACTTGTAGGTGTAAGCTCTCAGAGGTGTTTTGTGTAACTGTAAATTCAGCTAATAAATGTGTGTCATTATTGTTTTAGCTGAAAACATTGAAGAACAATATTTCCAAATGCGAAGAGGACATGAATGTTTGCAAAGAGCAGCTTTCCATAGAAACTCAGAGGACTAAGAGTCTATGCCATGAAGTGTGAGTAGATATCCTTTGTTTTGGCTGCTTGTAAAAAGGAAATCTGTCAGATTTTAAATTTCAGTAGAATATCATTGATAGGTTATGTTCAATCAAGAGACATGAAAGAAGTTTCTACAAACCAATACGAGTTGTTAGGTGATTTTAACATTTGTGTTTATTCAGTGAGGAGCTTAAAGTAGCAGATTCTGTAAAGACGCAGTCCCTGCAGATGCTGCAAGATGAGAACAACAAGCTGACGCTGGACACTGATAACAATCGCAAAGCCATGAGTGATCTTGTGAAGGTGCAACACTTTAATAATCTTACATAAACTTACAAGCATCAGAACATTTTGTGTGTTGGCTATTGATCTGCTAACCATGACTGTATTTGAACGATGAATCTTTTTCTCTTAGCTCAAGGATGAGCACTCAAAACTCAAAAAACAGTTGAAGCACAGGTAAGAGAATGCATCATTTTGGGATTTGGGCAGTTTCTCAGATCTCTGCAAAATTCACCAATATTTTGAAAGCTTTTTGTCTAAATAAACACAAATGCTTTCACCTGTGTGACACATGCTAATATTCAGTGCATGTGTAATAAAGCAAATGGTATGTCATGCTGTCCTTTTCCTTCAAAGCCTGCCAAATAATGCCTTCAGGTACGTCACGCCTTTAGCACTACGTGATGTCGGTCATCATCATGTAATAGTACAAATATAGTAACCGCATATATGTAGGCAGATAATTAGGAACATGCAAGGCATGGTCACATTGCGTTTACTTTCAATGCATTTTCCCAGAAAACGAGGATGTGATGTCATGTTTGTGATGCAGTAAATATGTTTGGGCAAAGCTTTACCCTGACCTGAGAATCTGCTGGACTCGACTGGAGATTGCGCTGAAACGGGAAACGCATACTTGACAATCATCATACAGGCTTCAGTTGAAGTGAATGGGAAATGGAGCAAATATTTGTAGTGTAATGTGACCATTCCTAAAGGCAAAGTACAATACATCTTAAGTCATAATACACAGATTGTAATTTAACCTACAGCTCCATCTCATCTGCTTGATATTTTCATGTGCTTGGCCTGCTGATTTTGCATGTTTTTTTTCCATTGTCGTCCTACTTTATTTAAATTTTCAATATGATGTCTGTACTATAAGTTATTTTGGTCTTTATCTTTATTTGCAGTCCATTTTGAGTTATTGAGTACTAAATATTTTGACTAAACAAAAATGGCACTCGATTGTCTTAATGTCTCAAATTTGTCAAGTGAAAAACTCAGAAAATAGTTTGAGTTCCAAAGTTTGGTAGATTTGGGCCAGTTTGCCTGGAGAGGTTGTTTACTGTACCTCTGAGATTGAATTGATTTTGTGTATTTGATAGTGGGAGCACCTTGAAGGAGCAGTTTGACAAGGAGAAGGCTGTCCTCCAACAGTCCATCCATAAAAACAGTGCCTTAATATCAGAAAAGGACCAGCAGGTGGAAAACCTGAGGAGTGAGGTGAGAATATAATGCATGATGGTACTCTTATTGTCAGCAGGTATGACAGCATATTGACAGCTGTTGCGCTTCCACAAAATGAATTCAAGAAAGTCAAGGTGTGTGTGTGTGTGTGTGTGTGTGTGTGTGTGTGTGTGTGTGTGTGTGTGTGTGTGCAGAAAGAGTTAGAAGCAGAAACTTTGATTTCTTAGTTTTTCGCTGTCTGAAGTCAACATTTTTAGCTGTAGATTCTGAGGTCTAGAAGATACAAGAGGTTGCTTGCCTACAGCCCTTGACTTAACTTTTAGTATCATTTGCTTTTGACAGTTGGTAAATAAAGCTAAAATAACAGCTGTAATTGCAGGGACATTTCTTACATTGAAGTCTCACAGGATGTCACTTCTAGGTCAAACATATTGCCCTGCTTTCATTTTTAATGTGCATGCTACAACATGGCTAACCTGAAAGGGCAACTTTGAAAATTGTGAGCAAGAAAGCCCTTGTGGCAGTGCAAACCTAGCGACACATTTCTTATTGCAGGTTCAAAACATCGGTTATGCTGTCATTCTCTTGAATCCTGTTTTGAACTTAAACACGAGGACTCTGTACTCTCAGGTCTTGACTTGTAGATGAAATGCTCAAATTGGACGTATGCTTTTATTTCTGTTGTTTTGACTAAACTCATTTAGTTGGGACTTCACTTGTTCACAAAACATAATGTTTTAGAGCAATGGGTCAAATCTCTTCAATACTGTATAGCCTTGGTTGTTTTCCTCTCAGCTGGTTGGACTGCGTGGGGAAAGTGACTCGGTTAAGACACTGCAGGGTACAATTCAGGCCTTGGAGCGGGACAAGGCTAATCTACAGGACCGTGTTCAGAGACTGGAGAAGGACCTGGCTGCAGGGCCGGACACCTTCAACAAGTCCTCAGGTAAGAGTGGGCTTAACTCATGACCGTAGCTAATGTTTGTGATGGCACTAAGGTCTATGGCCTGTAAGGCAGGAAAACAAGATAACCTAGTCTACTCCTGCTTTTAATTGGATCTTTTACCTGTTGTTTCCAGGTGATCCAGTTTCGGACGAACTAAGAGAGGTTAAGGAGGCTTCTGAGAGTCAGGTGTGTAAACCTTTTCTCTCATTCTTCACAATACTTGTCTCATGCCTGGATAGATTGAAGGTTTTTGCCATTCATACATTCAGTGTTAAGATGCTTCCCTACCCTGGCCCATAGAATGTTCTGGTTTGACAATGACTTATTTACATTTTCATCGTGCTTGGGGCAGTCGTACGGAAACGGTCTTACTGAATGCCGTTTGTGAAATGACTGTTCTGCTTACTCAGACATTTACTAACAAATGCGACCTCTGATGTAGCAGTAGACTGTGAATTTTACAGTTTGTTTACTCGTGTAGCAGTTACAGTATAATGTTTTAAAGAGGTGAACTGCGTCTAAATGTTCAGTTATTATCTCAGCTCTTACAGCGGTGATGGACATGGCCCATGAATTGGTATCACAGTTGTATTGTATATTTCTCCCACAGTGGTGGGATGATGGTCATCACTCTCAAAACCGTGACTTATTTTTCCTTTTGTGCCTCTGTTTACTCTAAAATGTTGTTCTGTGTCATTGATGACTTGAATGTGTTGTCTGGCAGTAGGTGGGTCCTAATTTGAATCTCATTTTTTATTTAATATTCTTCTCTCGTTCTCTTTCTTAAACTCCAACTCCTCTCCTCTGCCCTGTCTCTGATGTTGGCAATGCTACACCACCATCAGGCAGCGGTTTGTTAATGTTTCTCATCAGCATCACTTGTGCATGTCTGTCACTGTCACTTGTATTGTTTGGATCACATTATAGTTGGTGTCAAAACTACAAACTGTCTTCCAACGACAAATCAAGCTTGATTTCTCAATACCTTTAGCATTAAATATGACCTCTGCTGAAATGACCGTAGATGCTTAGATTAAAACTTTTAAAGGTCGACGTTTACTCAGTAAGACGCTCATCATAAGTGAATATTTTACTGACTCTTCTTGGAATTTTCTTTGGCTGACGACTCACAATGACGATTCACCGTCATAGTTGAGATTAGATTCATAATTCAGGGGATGTGGCGGGGTATACTTTCTATTATCTATAATCATGTCATAGGGTTGAGGCAAAGTCCTTTGCCCATAATACAATAAATAAATGTCACAAGGAGACCCTATATTATGTTTGGAAAAAATAGATATTGTTTGTATTCTAGATGATCAATGATGCTACTGTTATGTATCTTCTTTACAGATTGAGTTCCTGAATTCAGTCATCATTGACCTCCAGAGGAAAAATGAGGAACTCAAGGATAAATTGGAGAAAATGGCAGCTGCTGCTCTCAATGGGAATAATCCAAGTGAGCTGGATAACTATGGGTAAGTCCCATTCACAGCAGACTTTCTCACACTTGCGTTATGGCAGTACAAGTCAATCTTTTTAGTTACACACGGAGCTGCTTTCTCTTTCTCTGCAGCGGTGAAAAGGAACCCCCGAAGAAGAAGCTTCCCCCAAGGCTGTTCTGTGACATCTGCGACTGCTTCGACCTCCATGACACAGAGGACTGTCCCACACAAATGCAGATGCCTGACTCCCCCCCACACACCACCTACCACGGCAGTAAGGGTGACGAACGGCCCTACTGCAGCATCTGTGAGATCTTTGACCACTGGACCGAATCCTGTACTGATGACCAGACCTTTTAAGCCTTTTTCCACCCTTGTTCGCACAATCGGTATATTTGCACATCATATTAGATTACTTTGGGATTTTGGTTTGTACGTGTGCATTTCGCATGCTTGTTTTTGCCAAGCGTCTTCATTGTCCATACCAGTCCTTAAGCGCTCTTATGGGAGAATGGTCTCAGAACATCTTCAGAGAAAAGACCAACGACATACAGGAAAATAATATATAGCAGTTAACAATTTATCATAAATGACTTTGGATATCCTGGGTTTGTGTGCGTGAGGAGATGCTGTAGGTGGATGTATCATTGTGGGAGAAGCTATGATCGTCGGATCATTTAATTTATCAATATCCTAACATTGTTTGCACAGGTTGTTGGGGAGTTACAAAGATAATATAGTATCATGAAAAATGTTTATTTGAAACTGTAAATGACTTGATTGAAAAAAAAAAAATATCGGTTGCCGCAAAACTTGGTGAGCTATAGTTTATTTTTTTATGCCTGGAGATACTATGTACGCTTTAAAGGTTTGATAGTATGCGTGTTATTTTGTGAATGGTAATCACAGGGGAGAGATTGTCTCACTCTTGTCTGGAGTGGAGCAGTAAGACTCACTGCTGTTTGGCTTTAATGGGAACTTTTTTTATGGTCTTCATGAAGGAACAGATGGATGATTGTTAAAGAAGAGGCAGTGAAACCTAAAGCACTTACTGTAACCCCTCAGTTCCAGTGAAACGGCCTTTCCAAAAAATCATTTCTGTATGAAACAATTAAATACTTGGGTATTTCTTTAAAAATGTTTTGATTATCTGTATTAAAATAAATAAAATTTATGTATAAATTAAAAATCAAACCTCTCTGTATTGACTGTTCAATTGAAAGTGCATTGCAGTCTCTGTTTATGACTGCACGTAGTCATCAGTTGGACTATGCTACTAGATTTGTACAGGTGACACGATAGCCTCCATGTAGCGGAAAACATCAAATATTCATCTCTACGATATACTCGCCAGTAATGAGGGAATGCAGGGAGGAACATGAGAAAAAATGTGTGTATTTTATTTTTCTGGTGAGTTTGTAACACTTGTTAGACTTGAGATGAAGCTACACCAATAAACCAGCCTGGCCAGGACTAGATGGAGGAATATGGTTCCTGGTGTACAGTGGGTCAAACTGAAAAAGGAAGTAAACCTGGTGTAGCTGCTCATCTGGCTTTAAGACAAAACTGGCTATTTGCTCAAGGAGTTATGTTGTGGGAGCAGAAGTTGATGAGCTTCAGATGCAGACTGCCATTTCTCCAGCTCCACGTTGACCTCCACAGTCACCGGTTCCAGTTGGACGGACACGGAGTTCTCTGTGTGGACGTCCATCTTGCATTCCTGCCCTCCTTTTACTTTGCCTACATAAGACGAGATCAAATAGTGTTCATGATTTTAAGCAGACATTACATTAGTCATTTAGTAGATGCTTTTATCCAAAGCGATTTACAATTCAGATTCTATCACATTCATACACACACCATAGGCATAGCTACGGGAGCAATTTTGGGGTCAAGGACACATCGACATGTCGGGGATCGAACCGCTGACCCTCTGAAGTATTTTCCTGCTCTCCACTTCGCCCCAGTCGTTTACTAACTGATAAATCAAAGCACACCCCTTTTAATTTTTCCTTTGGATGCTAAATACTTCTTAAAAAAAACACACTTCCTTCAGTAATATTCCCCATGAGACACAAACCACATCTACGACACTGAACAAAAATATTAACGGAACACTTATTTTTTGTTCTTTTCATTAGCTGAAATAAAAGATCTGACTTTCCTAATTGTCGTATAAATGATATTGGAGATGGCTTGTGGTAGAGAAATAAACATTTAATTCACATTCGCAACAACTCGCTGCAGCTGGACATTCCTTCTATCAGCATGCCAATGGCTTGCAACATCTGTGGAATTATGTTGAATTTTTAGAGTGAACTTTTATTGTGACCAGGCCTCGGCACGCCTGTGTAATTGTGACAGTTTAATCAGCATCTTGATATGCCACACCTGTCAGGTGGATGGATTATCTTGACAAAGGAGAGGAGCTCAGTAAGGTAGATTTAAACAAAATTGTACACGACATTTCAGCGATAAGTCTGTTATGTGCATGGGAAAGGTTTAGTTTCATTTCATCCAATAACAAATGGGAGCAAAAACAAAAGTGTTGTATGTATATTTTTGTTCAGTGTAGATACATTTAGTCCACCCTAAACATAACACTATTTTAAACGTATTTCCTCAGTTCTCATTTATGTCAAAACGAATCTAAAAATATTCCCTGTACTCAGCTGTACAGTTGGAACAGTTATGTGTTGTTCAGATGATTAACCTTTTGAAGCTGCTGTATTCTTCTGTTTAGTACTGTTGCCTCCTCCCTGCTTTGATTCCTTGTCCTTCTTCTTGTCCTCTTTAATTGTCTTTCCCAGATCCTAAGGATGAGTGAAAAACATATCTCACATATAAGTCCCGATTTCAATTCAACGTTTTTCCTGTTGCAACAATAGTTCATGTGAAATGGACAAGCTTATGATTGTACTACTAACACCTGTTGAGCATGTCCTCTCGCCTTTTCAAGTGTTTGTGTAGCTTCCACCTCAGACTCAGTTTGCAGAGCCCCAACGTTACAGAGGACATGGACCTTTTGTCCTCCTGTCACCAGGCTGTGCAGGGGGATGTGGACAGAGCCTAGTATTCTTCTGATGGGGGCGTCCTGGAACAGCTCTGGTACCGATTTTTTCTTTTTGTCTTCAGACTTGTCTTTAGTGGATCCAGATTTGATTGGAGACTGAGGAAGATACCACAGACATGGAATTGTCATGTTGAGATGCAGTCTAATTTTATCTGTCAAAATAGACTTTTAATACTTACACAGAGCTGATGTGACAAGCTCTGGTTGACTTACCTGTGGGTGGACTGTTTCTTTATGCCGTGGTTCTAATGTGCACCAACAATTGCCATATTATTAAAACCATGATACAGCGAAGGTACTGTTATCCTCTGCAAAATGTACCTTTACAAACCATAGCACATGCAACAATGGTCTTTTTTGATGTAAAAATGACAACATAAATATTTTTACTATTTTTATAACTATTATAAGGAAGGCTGAAATAAAATATACCTTTTGGGTGAAACACAATTGCAGCTTTTTCGGCGACTTAAGAGGCTGAAATGAGCCTCAAGTCAGGGCTTCTCGTTCAGTGTGAGGTTGCCCAAGGGCACATCAGTAGATTTGGCAGCTGCTGTAGATTTATTGGACACTCGAGTCACTAGCAGATAACTGGAATAAATTCAGCATAAATAATAAAGCTTGCAACATTCTGGTTATTGGCCAGCCTAAGACTATATGTAAAATATTAAACTATATTATGAAGATAATATATAATCTTTTTGCAATTGCTTTTGGACTGATGCTATGTATTATAATAAAAAGAAAAAAGATGATTAACACTTTGCTCAATGCACTGGCCACAGCATAATAAGAACAGCTGAGTCGGTTTAAATGAGGGAGTTGGAGCATAAAAATTAACATGTGACCAGGGGTACAAATCTAAAAACCAGCTATATAGACATAGGCACAGATTTAAATAATACATTTTTTTTCTATTCATTCCTATTCTGGGAATAAACAGTCCAGGACATGGTCCAGCTGTGCCTCTCTCATTCCTTGTGTTTCTATGTTACCCCTTCCTTGTGTTTATTGTTTGGTCCCCTGTTTGTCCTTTCTCTGTATGGGTGTGTGTGTCTGTCTGCGTGTGGCACTCATTCTCCCTCCTGCTGTCAATCACCATGCACACCTGAGACCCATCCACTGGTCAAGCTCCTGCTGTATTTCTACGCCGGCTCCACACTCCAGTCTTTGCCAGATGGTTCAGTTTGCCACCATTGTACAAATGCTGCTGCCTGCTTTGTTTGTCTCGAACTAATACTTGAGTTTACCTGAGTACTGTTTATCCTGTAAATCCATTGACTCAAATAAAGTTGCTTGTGAACCTTTTTCAAACCTGTGTCCGAGTTCTGCTCTTTGGTCCTAAATCCACTGAACTTGAAAAATAGATATATTAATTCATTATTTTTCTAACACTGACTAATACAAGGGGTGTCCTTCTACAGTTTGTGATTCAGTAGGAATTAAATGATGAGCTCACTTCTTCCCCTTTCCTGCTTTTCTTCTCTTTTACAGGTCGGCTGGGTTTGGCTAACGGGACGTCTTCAGAGACTGCAGGCCATGACAGGACCTAAAATGTCAAATGCCAGAATATGAGTCCTAACGCATTTTGCGTCTGAACGTTTACCCACTCAAACCATATTTTTTTTTACTTTTTCCTCCTCTATTGTAAGATAAAGTCCTTTATTGAAGAATCTCTTCAAGCCTCCCAGATCACCAACAATGTACGTGTGTGTGTGACTGAAGTCCATGCACTCTGACCAGGTCAGCTTTGATGTGCTGTGTCCTGACACTGTAGAAAAATCAGAATAATACACAAGTGAAAGTTTGGCACAAAGATATGGCCGCAGAAAACACATAAACAAAATATATATAAGTCAGGCTTTTGGCGAGTCAGAAACACATAATGTAGGTGAAATCTCAGAATGAGTTAAGAAAAGTGTTTGATAAAGGATCAGTCATCATCCAGTTTAAGGGTATGTACAATTTCCCCCTGACTGTATGTTCCTCTGAAGGCAGCTGGGTAAATTCTACAGAAACTGATAAGAAAATACCTCACACTGACATCATGCACTGAATGTCTTGCAATTACAACCTGTGTGTTTTTTTTAATCCTGTTTCAACAACTGAGTCGGCTCTATCAGGGTTTGTGATTTAATAGATTTTCCTGGAGGCGTGAAAACTTTGCAGTTCAAATGAGTGCAGTATTATTACCATGTGCGACATCATGGCAGGTTTCCTCACTATACAACATTAAGTGTTTGCACGATTCTTTTTCACAATTTCTGTTTGATTGTAGGTCAGCATCATCTTCTGTTACATTTGCTGCGTCAGATTTAGACTCCCTGTCGAAGTTCTGGTAACAGCAAAAGAGAAGAAAGAAAAACTGCTGATTTAAAAGATCGTTTCTGGACATGATTACACAACACCTCAACTCCATTTTCCCCATTCAACAGTGTTTTATCTTTGTTTTAAGATAACTAACAAAGCAAAGCACATATAAAACTGATGTGAATTAAAGGCGCTTATGTGCATTGAACAAATATAGATGCCTAACTGTTTTTTGTTGATATGGTACTTATTGTGTGCAATGACGATAAAGTTTAATCTAATCTAATTGTATAACAAAGAGGGAATTTCATTCATAATGAACTGTAACTGTGGAACACATCCAATGACATATGAAATGTACATATGGGCATGTGAGTAAAAAAAACGTTTGTCACATGTGACATTCTGAACAGTGTAAGACATGTAAAGAGAGGGAAAATTGTCGGAAGGATACGTCACCAGGTTAACAGTTTGATGACTAAGGAACTCATATGTGATAAAATAGCCGTAGTTCACAACAGGGAAGTCTGGAGCGTTTTCTTCCACTCTCATCAATGGGTTTGGGATTCCCCTCGCCCTGCCCACACTCACTGTGGCTGATGCACGGTCCACTATCAGATCTGTACATATGGAAAAAATGACAAAGCTGCTGATTTAGGAAATTTAAAAGAAACAAGAGTCCATGTTTACAGGACTCAGGCCTACCAATTGACAGCACAGTCAACAGTCTCACCACTGTTCTTGGCCAAGCCCCTAAAACACTGTCTTTCCTCAGCGGAGATCCATGAGGTGTCCAGGCAAGAGAGCTGTGGAACACTGTCCACAGTGAAGCCTGGGTAGGAGGGAGCAAGAGTGAATGGGTTCCCCTCCAGCACCAGCGTCCTGAGGCAGCTGAGTGTGCTCAGGGCACTCAGCAGGGCCCGCTGGTCCTTAAACTCACAGTCACTCAGGTCCAGACACACCAGCTGTGGCCTGAGGTCAGAGACAGTCATTGTTTTTACAGAACAGCAACGTGTTGTACAGCAAGACTGACAACTTTTAAAAACAGTAAAAATGATTTACTCTTAAATAAAACATTCCCAAATGCACCAAGTCCAAGCAGCCCCTCCTCCTCTAACTTCAATTTGGGTATTTTCCTATATTTAACAACTTTTTGTAATTTTTTGTATTCGTTTAAAAACAGCTGTACGTCCCAGAGTTTCTGTACATGTTCTAAACGGTGCTGTCTAAGGGTCTTCTCTACTCCACCAGAAATTAATTCTCATGGCAAAAAAACATAAAAAACAACAAGTCGCAAGCCGAGATAATCCTGATGACATCACCAGGTTTCTTTTTTCAAACTTATACATTATACAACTGTTTTCATAAGATGTGAAATACTGTTTTTAGACATTTACATATTGTTTAATTGATGATAAAGAAGGAAGGCTTGAGAAAATAATTTCCCCTATGGCTCACTAATATGATAACCATTTTAGATTTAATGAGCTATGTGTTTCAGAGTGTTTCAATGTAATTGCCTTCTGAAATTCATCAGGAAACACAAGTGATTTAGCCCTCACTAGAAATTAATGCCATTTTTTGATCACCCTTTGAAGTCCAAAGCTGCCTCCCAGCTTTAATACACCACTTCGCGTAGCTTAGCTTAGTTTACAAAGTGGGTGTAACTTTGTAAAAGTGTGAACTTCCTGCTCCTACTGAAACAATATTTAGAAGTTGTGATTCTTTAAGGTGGCATCAAAAGATTTTCTACCCAACAGCATCAACTGCTATGTCATCACTTTTTCAGTAGGTGTTGCCACTGAAAATCTAACACACTGCCATCACATCAGTATATGTTGTTCAACCCACTTCCTGTGTGTTTGTGTGTGTGTGTGTGTGTGTGTGTGTGTGTGTGTGTGTGTGTGTGTCTGTGATTGTGAACTAACCAATGTCTTCCAGTAAGATGAAAGATGTCGTCATGTGAACCCAGACTGTTTGAGCCGAGGCTGAGGTATTCTAGGCGGGGAGGGAGGCAGTTGGTGAGACTGTTTAGAGCAGACAACCTGTTGGCACGTAGCTCCAAAATCTTTGAAAAAACCACATTTACATTCAAAGTTGATCATGCCCACATCACAACACCTGCTGAACTTTGATCTATGAGTCAGTTCTGTTACACTGACATACTGTACTTCACCCAGTGACGGCACAGCAAGTGTTTTACCTTTGCTTTGATGGAAAAGCAGGGCAGATCGATGTGAATTACCCTTTCATGACAACCTTTTGCAGAGCAAACTCACCTTCAAAGTGCTGGGAAGGTTTTCTGCAGGGATTTCTGAGATTTTATTGTCACTTAGCACCAATTCCTCCAGCTCTGAGAACCTTAACAGGCCTTCGTCGATGACTGATACCTGAACACAACACAGACAAAACATCAAGTACAACTTTTCAAAATTGCGTAAAAGCATCAGCATTTACTGATGTTGTTCTTTGTGTTTTAAACACGGTCAGGAGGAGAGTTGTCACAAGGTGTTACAATTTAAGTGGTTACTCAAATCCTCTCAGCCATGAGAGGAACCAGAAACTCATTGAAAATACTGTGAAACCAGAAGAAGATGTGATCTATTTTTGGGATCCTCTGTTTATTTTATGTCCATTTTTGGATTTAGGGGATCCAATAACAAACTTTGAGATTTGGGGATTACTCTAACTAACGTCAGGATAATAACAATTACCAATTTTTTCAACGTCTATATCAGAATAATATGGATTTAGGGACACTAAAACAAGTTTTGTGATTTAAACAAATACCATATTGTAGTGTCCAGGGAGGGTGGGTGTATAGTGGAAAGCCTCCCAGTATGCACCAGGGCAACAGGTTTATGGACCCCAGCCTCTGTTTATGCATGCTTCTGTAAGATTACAAACATTATGGAGTTATGCACCTAAAGATAAGAGTGCAAAGGTAGTCTGTTGCTGTACTGATGCTCAGAGAAGCTAATAAAGCACCCTTTTGAGCTGGAAAACCTTACATTTCTGTAAAAAAAAAAACTTTCATGCCATAATACTTTGGAGTGTATTATACAAAATCATGGGTTTGGTTTAACGGAATGCTCATTCATTTCTTAAGAATGACACTGTACAAGAACATTGGTTGAGTCAAATTTCAAGTACAACTCAGTACACTCACACCCTTGTCCACAATGCGAAGTGTAGTAAAGTAATTGTAAATGAAGTCTGTGTGCAGGCGTTCAGGGGTGAGCACAGCCAGCCGTCTCAGGGCTGGAGCCTGAGGGCTCCATGATTTGTCATCCCGCCATGGAGAGTGACGGCAACTCAGCAGATCCAGGAGGTCGTCTGTGTCCTCTGTTTCTGCTCCCTCTGTACTGTCTTTGCTCTTTCTCTGAGAACATAATCACTCAGTTTATCAGTATCTACAGTATATCTAAGCTACTGTATGCAGTGATGGGAGTGCTTTAAACCACTCAATAGACATGATCATTTTTTTAAAGATAATCTAGAAAACACTGCAAACAATAAAAAACAATGTAAAACTCACCCAGGTGCCGTAACCACAGGGAAAGTCCTTCAGACAAAGGCGGTGAATCTGCTTCTCTAACACAGCAGAAAGCTTGTTTGAGCTCATGTCAGCATTTGTTACCGTATGGCAAGTTACATAGATGTGTTAAGACAAACACAAGCTTCAGTGTGCAATGACACGTTAGCTTTTCTTTGGTCAGTCTTTCAGGGAAAAGGCCTCTGGTGTTTATTTACAAATGGTTGTCAGTTGCTTGGCAACAGCTGGGGCTCACTCCAAAAACACTGCATGGAGTCATGACTTCAGTGTGAGGGATTCAATGAAGCCCATTGAAATTAATTGTTAGTGTAAATAAAACTTGAGAAAAACTTGTTTCAGCTCAGGAATTGTTTTAGACAAACACCATGACCATGAAATGTTTAATTGCCTTGACAAATGACAAATTTATCAAATTCAACAACCTGACTGGGGGGCTTAATGCTACTGAGCCATCGTGAACGTTATTAGTAACATCTGTGTTGTTCTTGCTATGGCACTTTGAAAAACCTCAAATGAAATCTATCCAACTGCACTAACTGGCACCCTCTAATAGTTTACACACATCTTAAAAAGATCTCCCTGCTGAGTCAGTTTCATATTTTTATATATGAATATGTATATTTTCTTCCTACATTGTAATGTTACAATCCATTGACCCGTACAGACATTTTTTTTCCATTGGAGTTTGCAAATCCCAGGGGATCAAAATGTTTTTATCTCTTTGTTGCTGTAGCCTACAATGCTAACGTGCTGATGTCCAGCAGGTATAATGTTTACCATGTTTATCATCTTCGTTTAGCATGTTAGCATGCTAATATTTCTTAATTAGCACAAACATCAAAAACCATGGATATCAACGTCATGGTTGTGCAGCTAGACGAACGGTCAGGGAATGAATAATCCTCTGTTGACTATCAATGTCTGGACAAAAATGTATGACAATTCATCTAATAGTTGAGATATTTCAGTCTGGACCAAAGTGTTGGACCGACAGGCCAACACTGCCATCCCTCAAACCATCCGTCAACATGTTGCGAGATAAACCTTATTGGTTCAACGTTTTACACTCTTAAGGTTTGATGACATCATAGCAACATTCAACTGATGAACATCAGATGTCTAGATAACTTTGTGGCAGTTGGCATTGCCTTCCCACGTTAAACCACTGTGGTGCACAGTGCCCTATATGCAAAACAGAAACATTTACAGAAAGATTCTTTGGACGATAACACCACAAAGGCGTCATCCACTGAATGATGGCATGCAAAAAAAAAATCCAATCCTCCGATATATAAGCACATTGTGTGCCAGTTAAGGAGCACTAACTCAACAACACAAGGACAACATTCAAACCATGTCTTTTGGAAAAGGTAAGCTGTTTTTAAATGAAAGTTAATTCATCAAGGATTTCTGTTTCCGTAAAAGAGTAAGAACATTTTAAACTCAGCACCTCGGTGTAACAATGCTTTAGAGTTACTTTTATGATTATGTTGTGATTTCAGGAGTATTGATTGAGTGATTGATTGATTGATTGATTGAAAAATCAGAAATCAGCTTATAAGCAATATTTTCTTACTGCATATTATTCTCTCAGTATAATCAGTTTTGAATCTGAGATCTTGATTGGAGTTAAATTTGAGCAAGCTACCGGCTGACTTGCTATGCAGATGTTTTTTGTGTGTCTAACATATTTTCGTGTGTCTAACCTCCTGCAGAGCTCCTGCTTTTCTGCATTGGGATCTTGTTTGTGGACTCCCAATTATTTGAATTGGAGAGGATTCGGGAAAAAATGAAAAACCTGGAACCCTTTGCCTTCTTCTGTGATCTACAAATAGCGGAGGAATATTATGTAAGTAAACGCATCATACTTTAAGTTTATATCATATATAGTGCATTAACATTGACAGAAGTTTTCCTATTTTTAGAATTATATTTCATAGGAGATGTATTTAGTGGTAAAAGCCAATTAATGTAATAGAACATGCTACAAAATGAAGTTGCCTCCTCACCAGGAATGTAACTAAGTACTGTATTTAAGTACAAATTCAAGGGTTCTGCTTTATTTGATTATTTCCATTTTATGCAACTGAATACTTCTTGATAGTTACTTTTCAGATTACAATTGTCCATACCCTTCCTGTTTAGTCCAAACCCTGCATCACCAAATATGGTGATTTTTTTATTCGAATTCTTCTGATAAACTGAAGGATGACGTTTTCGTTTTCAGTGTTGGGAGAATGATCCTATATACATGAACTATTTTAAAACCAGGTTGTTTCATGAAAAGTTGACTTTATAGAGATAAGTGGTTCTCACAGGATTGACACCACAAACATCTGATGATCTTATAGAATATGATGCATTGCTGTAGATTAAACTACCCAACATAAAGGATTTGAAAACATCTACAGCAGTAAAATGCAACATACACATTAATGCAGCAGTATATTGATCCAGAAGTATAATATATAATAGCAAAATACTGACAAGGAACATTTTACAGCACAATGAGTACTTTTACTTTTCATACTTTGAAAACATTTTGCTGTTTTAATTAAGTACATTGTGAATGCAGGACTTGCACTTCCACTTGAAGTAGAGTATTTTTAGTCTGGTATTGACACTTTTAATTAAGTAAAGAATTTCTTCAACTACAACTCCTGTTGATAGAGGGACCTTTTGAACCCAAAAGTTATGATAACTCACAGCTTCTGAGATCTCCATCATTGATTTTGTCATATTCTCACTTCCCCTCCAGGTCAAGCATGTGTTTCAAGAAGAGGGCCCAAATGCATTGAAGCTCATTGAGGGTATAACTTTAGGAAACACCACAGAAGAAATCAATGCCTCCAGCTGTGCCATCAACGACTACCTCGACAAGCACCTGCAGACAATCTTAGAGAATGTCTTAACTTCCACAGAGGACAAGAACGTCATCCTCAACCATGCTCAAAAGTTTCTTAATCAGTTCAATAGAGCTGTTGGTCAAAATGGAACCCTCGCCTTGAAACAATGCCACAGAAATGTTACAATGTCAGACTGTTACACTATGAGAGTAAGAGGCCTTAAAATCATCAACTCTACCAGGCGATGGGTGGAGACTATCGCAGTCACAAAAGCCTCCTGCATGAATAGATTGAACTAAAACACTTAATGGCAACGTTGATATTTATTTATCTTTGTATTTATTCATTATATGTTGGTGTGTTATTTAAGGTTAATTTATAGAATTGATGTTATTTATGTTGAATGATGTCTTCCAAATTGCCTGTAGCCTATGATTAAAAATAGTTGGCAATAATAAAATAATTGAATCAAACCACTTTTAGAATAAGATTTTTTTCATCCTTGATTTCACTGCCAGAAGACACACGC